TTATGAAATTCATAATAATATAGCTCCTGTATACTTAGAAATATAACTCCAGAAAATGCAGCTTAGGCGGATCTGGGGAAAGTTTATTAAATGACCATTGAACCTCTCGTTAAAACGGGTAGAAATGAACTGTGAATGAAAAAGCTGTATCCGCCCAAGCGCAGGATCAAGATCAAGTTATATGATTCTTTTTTTCCCTCAACTATAAGATCATGGAATTATATTTCCGATACTGACAGAAACTGGCCTTCATGACAAAGTTTCAAGTCATATTTAAATTGTGAGCAGCCTGTCGCTCCATCCTACTATTCGTTTGGAATTAGAAAATTTGGTATTGTACACACAAAATTGATAGATATGACTCGTTACGCGTGTTCGCGCAGATGCACACAGGAGCGCATGCCGGACAAACACACGCGGTCACGAACACAGACATACACGCGTACTCTTCACACTGCATGGCATGCGACACAGACAACACCAATGCTTTTAGTCTTGTATCACGTTTCTGGTTATCCTTCTGGAATCAAATGACAAAAAAGAAGTTGTCATCCATAATATTTGCATTTTACTTAATTTATTTGTTCATATCTATATATCTATGTTCATATCTACTGACAATTATCTCTGAACACACAGATATGGCACATTGCCCTCTTATTCGTGCAGGAACAGACTTTTATTCTTGTAAATCTGATAGAGAGAATACTGGGAGTGAAACGCTATACCGCGGTATTAGTAGAACATCGGTATTTTGCCTTCGGTTTGGTATACCGTAATGCAATCCAAAAAGTCGGTCATTTTATTAACCTTTTTATACCTTTTTCTAAAATGTCTAGAAATCGAATCTTTTTGTCAAAATCTATGCGTTTCTTTTCTGCATTATGATTATATCTCATATACCGAACCGACACAGACCAAACCGAAGGCATTGTACCGCAATAGGTACCGTACCGTGGTAAGAGCATACCGTTTCACCCTTAGAGAATACATGTGTGTATTTGCTAAAATTTACATTGGATCGTATTGTTTCTAATGAAACATCGCTAGGCCGGCTTTTATATACCTGACCATTCTCGCGAGTAAAGGCACACAATAACAATTCCTTCGGGAATTGAACTTTTCTATAGATGGGTATTAACATTAATAATTAGGAATATATTTCTGTCTCAGATTTAGTAAAGATCGGCACTGAAGAAGAAAATGCTAAAGTGCTAAAACTAATCAGCCTTGGTTTAACGATGAATGTTGATGTCCCAAGCTAGAGATCCAGCGATTGTTAAAAATATTTAGAAAAAAGGACAGTGCGTCACTTAATTTATATGTTGATTGTAGAAATATGTGTAATAGCCTGTTACGCGAAAAGAAAAGACTTTATAACATATTCATCATGGGTGAAGTAATGAAGAATAAAAGTAATGCGAAATATTTCTGGAATACGTTTAAGAAGTATACAGTCGTTGAAACACATGGAAAATATATACACTCACAGGAGAGGTTTTCCCATTTTAGCAATTTGTTCCAAAATTGTGACACTACTGATGATCTTTCTGTCGAACTGTCTGGTGATGATTTTGAGTTTGTTATTGATGAAATGGCTTATAATATTTTAGACTCACCAATCACTAAAGAGGAAATTTCTGAAGCTATCAATAAATTAAAGTGTTCTATCAAAAAATTAAAATGTTCTATATCTCCTGGTGAGGATAATTCCTTTTAAACACTCAATGGATATCATATTACCTTATACCTTATTACCTTGTTTGATTCTTCTGTATTTCCAGATAGCTGGAGCACAGCAATTATTATAGCATTGTATGAAAAGGGTGACCGAAATGACCCCAACAATTACAGGGGAATATCACTCCTCTGTCCATTTAGCAAACTTTATACATCTGAACTTAATAATTGGCTATCGTTTTGGGAAGATTCGTAGGATAAGATTGTTGAATCACAAGCAGGATTTAGAAAGGGATACAGCACAACTGATAATATTTTTATTCTGCAATCAGTTATTCAACGATATTTATCAAGAAAAAAGGGAACATCCATGCACTTTTTGTTGATTTTAAAAAAGCTTTTGATCTTGTGAATAGATCCAAATTATAGTATGTTTTTAAACGAAGAGGCATTTCTCCAAAATGTTTAACGCATTAACTTCTTTATATAACTGTGTCAAGGGACGGGTTCGTGATAGCTCTTTATCTTTATCTCAATTATTTCATTGCCCACATGGCTTGCGTCAAGGGTGCGTTTTAAGCCCTTGCTCGTTTCCTTCTTTATCAATGAATGAGCTTTAGAAGTTGCGTCAAGCTGTTACTCTGGAATACAATTACACCCTGATGTTGTACAATTATTATTTGTTATTTGCTGAACACATAGTGTTATTTGCTGATACTATACATGTACATGTATATGGTCTACAAAAACGTATTAATGTTTTAGAAGGCTTTTGTGAAAGTCATCAGTTATCTGTAAACTAAGGAAAAACTAAAGTTGTTGTCATGGAAAATGGCGCAAGTTATCGAAACATGAGAAATGGGTTTTGAATGGGAATCAACTAGAAAATGCATCGTCTTCTAAATATTTAGGTGTTATTTTTTAAGATACTTGTTATGGACTTCTCATGTAAATAGTGCAGCTTTACAAGCGAAAAGATATTTGTATAGTGTACTTAAATCTTTACATATACTTGGCGCGGTGGGGTAGCCTAGTGGTTAAAGCGTTCGCTCGTCACCCGGAAGACCTGGGTTCGATTCCCCACATGGGTACAATGTGTGAAGCCCATTTCTGGTGTCCCCCGCCGTGATATTGATGGAATATTGCTAAAAGATCGTAAAACTAAACTCACTCACTTTACATATTCATGTACTAACTTCATTGCCATTTGATCTATTTTTTACGATTTTTGACACTGAAAGAAGTTCTATTCTTCTCTATGGTTCGGATATGGGGTTTAGATAATTATATAGAAGTTGAAATTTTACAAATGTTTGTATGTAAACGACTTCTGGGGGTTAAATCCCCAACGTCGAACCATGTTGTCAGAGGAGGAAATGGGTGACTTATCCAATGTATATTTTACTTATGATAGGACCGTTGCTTATTGTGTAAAATATGCTATATTCCTGATACGAGATTTGTGAACAAATGTATAATCTATTAGTTCTAGATTGTACCAGTGGGAAAACTAACTGGGCCTCTAAAATCAAACATACTCTCTACATGTATGGATTTGGCTATCTTTGGGAGGAACAATGTGTAGTTAATGTTAGAAATTTTATGTCGGTGTTTGTATACAGACTTAAAGTATCTTATGAGCAAGATTGGCATGCAACCCTCGATCGCAGCTCTAAATATTCAAACTATAATTCTGTTAAATCATCATTTGGCTTAGAATTGTATGTCAAAGAACTCACTATTGCGTTTGCTCAATTTAGATGTTTTTCACAGCGGCTTCGAATTGAAACTGGCAGATATGTTAAAGTGAGTGAGTGAGTTTAGTTTTACGCCGCTTTTAGCAATATTCCAGCAATATCACGGTGGGGGACACCAGAAATGGGCTTCACATATTGTACCCGATTGGAGAATCGAACCCGGGTCTTCCGCACGACGAACGAACGCTTTAACCAGTACGCTAACCCACCGCCCCATATATGTTAAAGAAAGTAAAGTTGATAGATTATGTCTTTTATGCAAAGAACGATATATTGAAGACGAATACCATTTTATATTGTTATGTAATATATAACAACATCTAAGGTCTCTACGTTTGCCAAAGAAATACTATTTGGATCCTATTGCACTTAAATTTAACATGTTAATGCAAGATGTAAATCCAGAAACTTTTAAAAATCTAGCAGTTTATGTATATATTGCTATGCGACATAGACAGTCATTTGTACATATTGTATCATAACCGAAGCGTATGTTATTGTTTATGTTGTATATTGTATATACTCTCTCATAGTCAATTGTAAATGTAGAATGGGCCTGTGGCCTCCACTACAAGAAATAAAGATTGATTGATTGAAGTAGAAAATGAAATTAATCTCCGATACCAGTAGTGCACAAAGTGAGGTGAGGTGAGGTGAAATTGGGTTTAACGTCGTGCTTGAGAATATTTCGCTCATATGACGACGTGCATGCCTGTGTATGTTTATGTGCGGCTGCTTGTACTAGCCCAGACTGAAGCTGGTTTTATAGTGTATGACGCGGTCGGGGATCGAACCCGCGACCTTCCGCTCTCCGGGCGGACGCTCTAACCACTACACCACGGAGGCGGTCAGTGCATAAAGTACAAATTCTTGTGATTTTTCAGTATTTTGCAAACTACCTGGTAATCTGTGGTTTGAGGCTTATATGTTTACAATACATTTAGCTAAATTATATGGTAACTGTCACAAGGTTTCGTCAATACTCGGTTTGTTTTAAAACATAACATAAGATTTACCCTTTAATGATTCGCGCCCGTTTTTGGCGCGGTGGGGTAGCCTAGTGGTTAAAGCGTTGGCTCGTCACTCCGAAGATCCGGGTTCGATTCCCCACATAGGTACAATGTGTGAAGTGATAATGCTTGAGTGAGATAGTATCATTTTACGCCGCCAACAGCAATATTCCAGCAATATCACGGCGGGGGACACCATAAATGGGCTTCACACATTGTACCCGTGTAGGGAATCGAACCCGGGTCTTCGGCGTGACGAGCGGATGCTTTACCCATTAGGTTACTCCACCCTATCCCTGCAATAATAGGGCGGGCAACTCGAGAAATGTGATTCATATACCGTACCCATACAAGGAATCGAACACCGGTCTTGGCCTGACGAGCGAACGCTTAAATCTCTACGTTACACCCCGGAAAAATCGCCCTTCACCTGGCTAGCAAATGCACGTTATTGTTAATTCGGATTTCTTCTTTTTTTCAGATTAGCCCGAGATGTATACTGAACATTAAAAGTACGCTTGGACTGTTCCATGATAAGACCTTCTGATATCTGATGGCAATGTTCCTGCTCTTTCTCGCCTGGAGAACATTTTTGTGCGTTTCTTGTCACTTCTACATTCCCGATCTCCCCGTGAAGCGCTATGTAAAACCAGGAGACATCAACATTGGGGCGATTTTTCCCATCTACAGTTACGACAAGGTCAAACCGTGCGGCAACCAATTACGCTCAACCGTCATTCTGCAATTTATCGAAGCTCTCGTTTTCGCCGTGGAACAAATAAACGATGATAACTCCATTCTACCTCAAGCATCCCTCGGCTTTGTTATCGTCGACGACTGTCTTAAAGAAACCACGACCATTGCCCAATCATTGTCCTTTCTCCCTCAGCCAAACACATGCACATGCAACGACACCTGTTCGTCAACTAACGGAACAGCGACACCTGCTTATGATGTCATCGGAGTCGTAGGTTCAATGAAGAGCTCGAACTCGATTGCTGCAGCGACCCTTCTCGGACCAGCTCATGTTCCACAGATAAGTTATGCGTCTTCTAGCGATGAGCTGAGTGACAAAATACTGTATCCATACTTCCTGAGAGTTGTGCCTCCTGATAGATTCCAAGTTGAAGGAATCGTAAGTTTGATTCAAACATTCGGCTGGAGTTATGTCTCTGTGGTGTACTCAGAAGGCAGTTATGGTGAACTTGGCTTCAAGAACTTGAAGCAGAGGATGGAAGAGCTGGGAATGTGTATAGGAACGTCTCATAAAGTTGCCGAGGGTTCAGAGCCGTCGGAGTATGACAAGGTTGCTCTGGAACTGAAAGCCCACGGTAAGGTTGTAGTCGTTTTCTCTGGGCCGACGCATGCCAAGCAGCTCTTCTCGGCTGTGAAGCGAGCTTCGGACCTAAAGAGGTACATCTGGATTGGCAGCGACGGCTGGGCGAAACGAATCAAGAACCTGGCTGAATTTTGGGAGGTAGCTCTCGGAGCCTTCACCTTCACGTTCTACTCCGAAGCGGTTCCTGGTTTTACAGAATGGTTTCAGGAGAAAGATCCCCTGTCGGAGAACGATCCTTGGTTCAAGGAATTCTGGGAGAGTCAGTTCGCATGTTCTTTTGATCCAGCTATTGGCAATCTCTGTGATGGGAGTATGAAATTGTCACCAACCAGCTTCAAGCCTGTGTCCACAGTCACCCCGGTAATGGACGCTGTATTGACATTTGCACATGCTGCACATGCACTGCTACAAGAGTCATGTCCTGACCGAAATGGAACTGACGCACGGGGCTGTATAACGGGACCCGGTCTGCTGGACCAAATACAGAAGCTGTCCTTCATGGGAAACAATGGACGTGTGTCCTTCGACGAGAGCGGGAATCTTCTTGGCAGATACATGGTGGAACAGCTTGTCAGAGAGGGAGACTCGTTCAAGCAGATACCAATAGGAGTCTACGACTGTGAAAGGGGAATTCTTGATTTCCTGTTTAACAATACCATCACATGGGACTACTTTTACCGAGCTGCGGACGCAGACATCCCTGAATCCGTCTGTAGCAAACCTTGTCTCCCTGGAGAATTCTTCATCCAAAAGGAACCACGATGTTGCTGGGAGTGTAAGAAATGCAGAGAGAATGAATACATTGTGCAAAACGGTACCAATTGTGCGCCATGTCCTCTCTACTGGTGGCCAGACGTTTCAACAAAATACAAATCATGCATTGAAATCAAATCTACGTTCCTACTATGGGGAGAACCCTTGTCAATCATGCTCCTATTCTTCTCATCTCTGGGAGTAATAGCAACAACGATCGTCTTCGTCCTGTACATTCGTTTCAACTCATCAAAGTGTATCAAAGCATCCAGCAGGGAGATGAGCTATTTGATGTTGGTTGGGTTGTTCCTTGGCTTCGTGACTGTTGTCATCCTGATATCTCCGCCATCTTGGGCCAGCTGCCAGATCAGTTTCTTCTGTTTCTGCATCAGTTTCTCGTGGATCTACAGTCCGCTTCTCACGAGGACCAGCAGGATCTTCAGGATCTTCGAATCCAGTAAGAGGTCTACAAAACGACCAAAGCTAGTCAGCCCAAAGTCCCAGGTCATCATTGCCTCCGGGCTTATTTTGATTCAGGTAAGTGTACAGTTTTGTTCCTTTGAGTGGCGGTGGGGTGGCCCAGTGGTTAAAGCGTTGGCTCGTCACGCCGAAGACCCGGGTTCGATTCCCCACCAGCTACAACGTGTGAAGCCAATTTCTGGTGTTCCCCGGCGTAATTGCTAAAAGCGGCGTAAACCTAAACTCACTCATACTCACTCACCTTTGAGCTGCATTTTAGAAGCTGGGACATCCGATATCAGTGAGTGAGTGAGTTTGGTTTTACGCCGCTTTTAGCAATATTTCAGCAATATCACGGCGGGGGACACCACAAATGGGCTTTACACCATACGATATCTAACAACCTTCATGGATAACAAGTTATTTCATTTCGTGAGTGCGATGTTTCGATGCAGATTCTTGTACCCTGGTCTTCGGCGTGACGAGTGAGTGAGTGAGTATGGTTTTACGCCGCTTTTAGCAATATTTCAGCAATATCACGGCGGAGAACACCAGAAATGTGCTGCACACATTGTGCCAATATCTAGAATCAAACCCGGGTCTTTAGCGCGACGAGCGAACGCTTTAACCACGAGGATATCCAGTGCAGAGGACTCGCGGCCAAAAGTTTATTACTAAGAGTTTGTGATGTCAATGGTTACATGATGTGTCCACGCTGTTTCCTAGATGATATCGGGAAACACAACATTCAGAAAGATTAATCGCCGTTTATTGCGACATGTTACAGTAATCAGCAAGAACGTGGCCCACTAATGGCCGCGCTAATCCAAGACAGAGGTTCGTGGTGAATATAGGAAACTAATCTGTCTTCCAGTTGCATCATAATGCATGATCTGTTCGGCGCGTCTGTTTCCCACATAATGCCTTTTAGCCGGAATAAATCCCTCTGATTCTAGACAATCACGTGTCGCCACGTACAGACGTAACAGAAGATCATTTTTGTCACACCACATCTACAGAACATCCGACATGTCCAACGAACTATATTTTTCATGACGAAAACGTAGATCTGTCCATTTTCAAGAACGGTTCCTCGTACTAAACGAACCAAAGAAGGTCAAACTTTTAATACATGCGGTAAATAACGAACTACGGTTATACCGAACTATGGTTATACCGAACTACGGCTATACCTAACTGTGGTTATAAGGAACTGCTGTCATACCGAACTTCGGTTATACCGATCCCGCTTATACCGAACTACGCTTATACCGAACTTTGGTTATAAGGAACTGCTGTCATACCGAACTTCGCTTATACCGATCCCGCGTATACCGAACTACGCTTATACCGGACTACGCTTATACCGAACTATGGTTATACCGAACTGTGGTTATAAGGAACTGCTGTTATACCGAACTTCAGTTATAACGATCCCGCTTATAACGAACACTGTTATAACGACCTACGAGTATACCGAAATACGGTTATAAGGAACTGACGCTATAGCGTGCTTATACGGATCTACGGTTATAACCAACTGCGGTTATAAGGAACTACGCTTATAAGGAACTACGGTTATATAACGAACACGCTTATAGGGAACTACGGTTATATAACGATCACGCTTATAAGGAACTATGGTTATAACGAACTACGGCTATGGTCTTTTTGTGTTCGTTATAACCGTAATTTACTGTTTACTGACGTTGTGTGTAACTATTTTGTACGTCGAGTCAATACTTCATGATGCAAATGCTATAGTCCTTTGCTAAATGGTCTGGCTGCATAGCCAAGTGGGGAAGCCCCGAGTTCGATCCCAAAATGGGTATACTGATTGAAAACGCTTTAGTGTTCATCCGCCGTGATATTGCGATAACAATTGTAATTTGCGACTCGCTCGTGTGAAACGGGGCACACACTTGTACATGAACCCGTGATCCGAGTTGAAACTGGTCTTCAGCAACCCTTCGTATCCATTTTGCGTAGCTTGATGCTCATGCTGTTGATCACTAGATTGTCTGGTCTGGACTCGATTATTTACTGACGGCCGCCATATAGCTGGAATATTTCTGAGTGCGGCGTTAAGCAACAAACAAACTTGTACATGAGAATAACAATTTATAGTCCATGTGGGGAATCGAACCCGGGCCTTCGGCGTGACGAGCGAACGCTTTACCCACTAGGCTACCCCACCGCCCCAATATATATAGGAAATGAATCGGCGTTTAGTAATCATTCCAAAAATACTTCTGCACCATTAATTTTATATGTGTTAATCGATTTTAAACTTCTAAAAGTAAAAAAACATAAATTCTCACAGTGAGTGAGTGAGTTTAGTTTTACGCCGCACTCAGCAATATTCCAGCTATATGGCGGCAGTCCGTAAATAATCGAGTCTGAACCAGACAATCCAGTGATCAACAGCATGAGCATCGATCTACGCAATTGGGACCAACCAAGTCAGCGAGCCTGACCACCCGATCCCGTCAGTCGTCTCTTACGACAAGCATGGGTTACTGAAGATCAATTCTGACACGGACGTTTACAGGTAAATTCACACAGTACAAACATGTTTAGACACCAATGAATTTGCTTTTTAACATATGACTGCAAATTCTTTTCTCATAATACTCGAGAATTATTTAAACCAATATATTTTGAATACGAGAAGACACAGGCACGGATCACATTTGATAAAACTGTTATAGGAAAACGTAATTATAGTTAAACAGACAAAATCAAACTTTAACGACAGACATCTTTGTATACCTTCATTTCCTACTCAGTTTATTCCACTGAATGAATTTCACCTGGGATGCTATTAAATACAGTACAAACAAGAAGATTTTGAATCTTGGGTCACGAACATGCTCAACAGATTTTCATTTAGAACGCAATAACAAGTAGGCATTTTTCATTCACTTCAGCCTGTCTGGATTGTTTGATCATCCCAAAAGTCCAAAGCCTGCAGGCGTTAGACAAAAAGCCGTAGCTCTTGAAACATATTACTTGTATGTGGGCTCACTAATAAATTAAACCAGTCACTTATGTGATTGGGAACGTTACTTACAATAATAGTAAAGTGTGGTTTAAAACACATATCTATTTGCTTGTGGTAAACATCACTGGGTCTTCGTCACGTTGTTTCAATACGATTTAAGTTCGGCAGTCACGTCCGATTGGTACATTTGTGCACACATACTCCTAGCATAGTCACGTACTTTTCCTTTTTCTGTAATATACCATCGATTAATCTTGCAGTGGACTTTAAACCACACCCCATCAGTGCAAGCAGTCAAAGCTGGCCATTTTCTGTATGATTTGGTCGACATGTATACTTAAAGGCAAAAGAAACGCACGTGCAGTACAATAAATAGTTTATAACATATTCAATACATATTCCATATAAGTCAATATGGAACTGATACAGTACAACCAGAAATTATTGGGAATGTAAAGATTGTAATTTAAAAAAAGAATTCACTCATTACTCACGTATTAAATGTGAATATTAGCAGAACATAACTCCAGATTCAAAGACAGGTGAACAGTTAGTATTTTGTCAAGTCACCATGGGCAGCAATGCAGGCTTCAATGCGGCGGGGCATACTACTGATCAAAGAAGTTAGAAAGTCGTGGTCCATGCTGTCCCAATATCGGACCACCTCTTCTTTCATTTCAGCAATATTTGTCAGATTGTTCTAATTGACACTTTCCTTCATAAGTCCCCAAACAATTTCTATTGGATTTAGGTCAGGGCTATAGCTTGGCCAATCTAATAATGTCATATTTTGGGTCCGAAACCAGGCCTGTGAATGCTTTAAACGATGTTTTGGGTCGTTGTCCAGCTGGAAAATTCAAAAATTTCCATAGAACACGTGAGCAGATGGAAATAAATGTCCCTTGAGAATATCTGTGTACCGCTCACTGTTCATATTCCCTTCAAATACACAGAGGGGCGTTGCCCCTAACACAGATATGCCACCCCACACGTTAAATTTCGGACTGTACTTTGGGCGCTGATACAAAGGTTTTTCAGTTTGTTTGGTCCAGAATTTCAGTGTATTAGGAAACAGCCATACAAAACTTTCATCAGAGAAAATCACATTGTCCCAGTTAAAATTTCTATGCTGGAAGCACCAGTTCAACCTTCGCTCCTTTTGTTTAGGTTTCATGATCGGTGATGGAATTCCTCGACTTTTCTGCCAACCCATTGCATGCAGCTCAGTTCTAATTGTCTCCTTACAGACAGCCACAGTTCCTCTATCAATCATATCCAGCCTTAAGTTTTCTAAACTCCTTCGTTTGTTTTTAGAAACAAGAATACCAAGCCACTTCCTGTCATCGACAGTCCAATTTCTGGGCCTACCTGAGCCTCCCTGGTGCTCAATGCCATATCCATTTGCAATATTTTTCAAAACACGATAAACAGTGGACAAAGGGATGCCTGTTCTACTTGTCTGCTAGCAAGTAAACAAAGGGGGATAAATCTTCACAAACTAATGAAAAAGGATAAACGGAGTTGTCTCTCTTGAATGAAACCAAGCACTTGATAGCTGGTCAAGGTTGCTTATGCTAGAAATCCAATTAAACATACTCCTAAAATTCTCAATAATTTCTGGTCATACTATACATGCATACAGGTTAACTGTTGCACAGATCATTTGGTTGACAAATGTTTGGGATAGTGCCGTAACATGGACTTGGATGATCAGACATCAAGGTCACAAGGTCACAAAATACCGTGTATGACCGCCATTTGCATTTACCACTGCGGCACAACGCCTGTACATGGAATGCACCAAATTGTTGGTAACGTTCAGTGGGATGTTGGTAACTGTCTGTAGCACTGCTGCTCATGGTTCAACAGCATTTGTTGGCCTTGGACGAACTTGGTTTAATCGTCTTTGAGTTTCGTCCCACAAATGTTCAGTTGGGTTTAGTCGGGACTCATGGATAGCCAGGGCAGAACAGCAATGTTGTGATGTTGCAGATGTTGTTGTGTTACCCTGTGGTTCTGATGTCTGGCAAAAAATGGCACAACATGGGGTTGGAGAGCCTGATCAATGTGCCGCTGAGCATTTACATCATTCCCCCTTCCAGGACCAATATTCTGAAACACAACTGGTCCTAGTCTCTGGTTGTAGCCAATACCTGCCATTACACATGGGCCGCCAAATCCGTTCCTTTCCATCACACTCTCATCAGCATAACAATGACCTCGTCTTTGCCATATCCTGACACGTCCGTCAGCATGGGGAAGACAAAATCGACTCTCGTCTGAGAAGCTCACACGGTTCCACTGTCTGTGACGCCAGTTCAGATGCTGTGTTGCCCACGGAAGATGAACCTGACAGTGACGTGGGGTCACGAAGCTGGGCGGCAATATTTCAGGTTGTTGACCTTCAGTCGACGTCGTACGGTACGGCCATTAAAGGTTATTGGTGAGCTCCAATGGTCCTTTGTGCTGTTTCACTGGCACAGAGAAATGAATCTGCCTGATGTTGACGACAGAAGAACCGGTCTTGTCTGGGCGTGGTCACTTTTGGCTTACCACTTCTTGGACGGTCAGCTGTGGTCTGCGTGGCTGCATAACGAAGTTTAAGGAGATAAATGGTCGTAACATGGACGTTAAAAGTACGGGCAACGTCATCCGCACTTTGGCCTGCATTTAGTCTACCAATAGCTTGATCCCTTTGACATGCATTTAATCTTGGCATCTTGAAGTCAGCTATCGAATAGTGACAGAGACCAACAATCTGCACCATTGTATAGCCATTTCAGTCAGCAAATGCACGTGCATGTTCATTTCACCTTGAAACTTCGATTTCTCCGTACCATGGTGTGTTTTAGCGATATGTTTTAAAAGTGACTAGCAACCTTAAATGAGGCAACATTAATGGAACAATTCATAAAATTAAACGTTTAAGCCCAGGAAATGTATTCGCAATGTTTACTTCATACTAAATAACTCAGACTGAAGTTTGACAATTTCCTTTAAAAAATTGCTTTTCTTTTGCCTTTATGGCGAACTATAAACTATAACTATAACTATAAAGCATCTAAAATTAGTGGTATCTCTGTGTTCGTTATTCGTTAAACCGCTTCCGTGGTGTAGTGATAAGGGTGTCCGCCCGGAGAGCGGAAGGTCGCAGGTTCGATCCCCATGCGCGCCGTGCCAAAAGACGTTAAAATATGGTACTTGTTGGTCCCTGCCTGGCGCTCGGCATTAACGGGTACAACAAGGACTGGTCGGCTTGGAGTAAGTATAATGTGTCTGAGTGGGGCATTCATGCTTAACTGCGGCATGGTATCTCAGTGAGCTAGCACTATAAAACCAGCTTCAGTCTGAGCTAGTACATGGAGCCACACATACACACTCATGCACGTCGTCATATGAGTGAAATAATGTTAAGTATGACGTTAAACCCCATTTCACCTCACCTCGTTATTCGTCATCGCGCTAATGTAGCCTCGTGGTAAAGCGTTCGCTCGTCAAAATCCCGGTTCGATTCCCACATGGGTACAAAATGTGAAGCCTATTTCCGGTGTCCCACGACGTAATATTGCTGGAATATTGCTTCGGGCGGCGTAACAACAGCACACTCACTCGCTCACTGGCTGTAAACCAGTTTGCTGTTTTTATAAACAACACGATGTTAAGCAACATTCACTCATAACAACTCTCTGTTTCAGGTCGCCATATGCATCGCAATCACTTTCATATACGCCCCCTCCCCCAAGCTATCGATGCCCGTGCGGACTGAAAGATACGTGGAGCAGAGCTGCGACTTCACCCTACCTGGATTAGCCTCGTTCCTGTCCTACAACCTCGTTCTGGTTGTCGTCTGCTGTTTCTTTGCCGTAAAGACCCGGAAACTACCGGACAATTTCAACGAGTCTCGTTTCATATCCATGTGCGTCTACACCACCCTGGTTCTGTGGTCAGCGTTCATTCCTTCATATTTCACAGCGGACAGGCAGTACCTGAAGACGGTCATGCTGTCGATTGTTCTAATTCTTAACAATATCGTCGCCCTTTGCTTTTTGTATATACCAAAGATTTACGCTGCCATGTATCTGGAGACCAACACAGTCATGCCCGCCGGGAGTACAAGATTCGCCAGGTCGACAACTGTCACGAACATCTCGGTGAACACTGAACGGAACGCCAACTTTCTCCAAGTACAACCAATTAATCCATGATCGTGTGTTTGTTTGTTTGTGGCTTAACGCCGCGCCCAGCAATTTTCCAGCTATATGACGGCAGTACGTAAATTATCGAGTTTCCGTTGTGATTTACGTGATGAGCATCGATCTACGCTATCGGGATACGGTTATGCATCAACTAAATCAACAAGCCTCACCGCCTGATCCCGTTAGTCGCCTCTTACGACAAATAGGGCTTACTAGAGATCGATTCTAACCCGCCTTTTCTCGGTCAGTTCCGGACGCGTGAAGGTCCGGGATAGAATGTACCTTCAGCAACCCCTGCTTGTCGTAAGAGGAGACTAACGGGATCGGGTGGTCAGGCTCGCTGACTTGGTTGACACATGTCATCGGTTCCCAATTGCGAGGATCGATGCTCATGCTGTTGATCACTGGATTGATTGGTTCAGACTTGATTATTTACAGATCACCGCCATATCGCTGGAATATTACCGAGTGCGGCGTAAAACAACAAACCAAACCAGTAGCTGGATTATTGTTGAGTGCGGCGTAAAAATAAACTCACTCACTCACTTTTCAGATTCTATTGTATGCCCTCTGCACATTGGCACGAGACATACTTGTCCCATTTTGAAAATTCAAATGTAATTTTTCATATTTGGCAAAATGGCCACAAGAAAACAATTAAATTCTTCTGTATATTAGAGCATAAGATAATATAACAGACCACAATAATAGTTGTCGAATTCGATGTCTGGTGAGATTTGAGCGCTGAAACACATAATGCGCGTATCTTATGCTTGAAAATTATCCGTGTGTTTTTAATGAGTTTGTGTATATGATTATATTTTGAAAATGAACTTATACAGTTATTGTCATGGAAACAGTTTGAAAACGTCCTTTTGAATAATCGCTTTCACTTTCGGTTATTTACAAAGAGAACAGATACAAATGTGTTTCATGAGAAGGTTTAAACAGGATATGGTGTTAATCAAAATAGCTGCAGTTTAACATACGGAAATACATAGTCACTAATACTCTACCTTTTATTAATATATGTTGTATATATACTTCTCTTCAAAAATGTAGACTCACTTAGAACACTCACTATATGTTATGTATATATATATGGTTACATCGAAGATTGATTTCTCCACTAACTTGGGGGGAACCAACTGCAAACTTTATGCATATGAATTGCACGAGGATCATGCATCAAATTGCTGAAAAGCATGTGCAAATATCGTGCATGTGAACAGCTGCTTCTAAAGTTTTGTTAAAAATTCGCCAATTTTCACTGATTTTCATCATTTACTAAACTCACAATAATCTTTTTAATGTTACGAATTTGTTTTATAATACATCAGTTCATGTGTAAACAGTACTCCTAAACAGTATGGAATATTTTGCATAATTTAGTTTAGAATAGTTACCTGAAGTGAGTGGCTACATTTACACTAGTGAGTCTAAACTTTTGATGAGAAGTATATAATTCCTGTCATTCAATGCGTTATTCTGAGCGGAACCGTCAGTAATTCAGTTTGTCATGCACTACAAAGCCCAAGGAACAGAACCCACTGTCCTGGCGCTGAGCACGTGAAGTCCGGGTGTGTCCGCGCTTTGACACTCCACGTCGACTGCACGTGGAGCACGAGTTCCACGTACAGTGGTTGTTGTGCATTGACGAATACACGAGAACAGCGACTTCACGTGCACTGCGTCAAGTAGCGCCTCGCGAGACAAAACACAAAACACAAAACCAAATGTTTTCCCATAGACTTCTATAATTACGTTATATATTTTGTTTAAATCAACAGCCATTCCATGTACATATTGGTACAGTTTGGCCTTTAAACTACAAAAAACCCACGAACCCACGAATATTTTCGAACACAGGAAGCTGAACACATCAACCCCAGTTCCGCACCAAATGGCACCTGCTCAAAACTATGTGAGCACACATTCAGCGTAAGTCACCTGTTAAAAAATGCAGCACTAGATATTAAAAAAGGGGTCAGTTTTAATTACTGGATGGATGTATATTTAACAAACATAAATATTTTACACAATATCATCCAATCACAGCTGTCACCATCCTCGATAATGTCCAGGGTATACGTTAAGATCACTCTCCACTATACCTTGGATTCATTTACGGCCCGATGGTTTTATTACCTCCCTTGGCTGGCTTTTTATCCAATCAGGTGTCTACGCTGGGAAGTTGAGCGTACCAATCACAACTCGCTTTCGCTTTTTAGATTATCTAAGCGTTTAAACTTGGCAACACAATTGATGCAGAGGTACTCTGAAAGAGGTAGAAGGAGTTCTTGCATACATGTATATTTTTTCTAAACTTTCAGACCTGTCAATTTGTCTGTATGATTTCCCTCCAAATCTGAGTCGCACTGCGAACAAACCTTCGCGTCTGCGACCGCTATCTTTGTTGACACTGGCAAGCTCGGTTGTAACGGCGGCCTAGCTGATTGGCTACTGTGAGAATGCGGAGCCAGCAAAGGAAGGTAATAAAATTATCGGGTCGAGCCATAGATGCATCCCGGGTTTAGTGGAGATTTATCGTAACGTATACCCTGGAGATTATCGAGGATGAGTTGTCACATGCCTCCATCAGATCTGAAGTTTACGTACGATACTCGCTCAGGGAGCAGCTGATTTTTATTTTGTATAGTAGAACCTGTAATCATGTTCATCTTAAGCTATGTTGTAGGTATTTCTTGAAAAACGCACTTTGGTATTTGTTGTCATGACTACATCATTCCTTATCGCCTGAATGACTCTTTCATGAGTTTGCATGCACTTATATTCTTTAATTAATTATCTTGATGTTTCGTGATTCTGCTTCAAATGGCAAGAACGTTACATTCTATGTTGTTGGGTTTGTTTTTCTGTTCTTGTTGTTTACTTGAAAATTTTATTTCTTGTACATTTTAACACACAGCGTCATGACGTTGGCGAGAGATTCACGCGTTACTGATGATGTACTAACAATCTGAGTTGTTTTCTCCTCGCTGTTAATTGTAGTTATTGGTTGTTGAATAAAATCATTTGACTTCTTGTACTTAAGGTATTTCTCGTGATGTACGTTTCCTGAAGGGGTACCGGTCAAAAAGCCCTTCGACCAAAAGCCCCTCTGGACAAAAGCCCCTCCCTAATTTGAACACCCCTGTCAAAAGCCCCTCGATTCATAAATTTCATAAAAGAATGAACATTTCTCACTGCTCTTATATATTTCATACAGTATTTTAAGTAGGAAAACGTATTTTATATTTAATAAAGTATAGTGAACTTTTCCCATTGCTTTTATATATTTTAAAAAATATTTTAAGTATTTTATCGTATCAATGTAAAGGAGATGGAGAATGTCTGTTCGACACAGATAATGGACGACGCAACCTTGCGGCATTAACAAAATGGACTTTCTTTCCGCCTCAGGCCACAACATTAGGTTGTGTTGATTTGTTTAATTAATTGTGATGGAATATACTTTTTCATGTCATTAATAATTTCTTGTTGATTTGTTATCATTTCTTTGATCTGATTTATTTCTTATTCGCTAAAATTATTTGCTAATTACATATGAATCTATATGTCATTTAGGGTCGTTATATTATAAAGCAATACAATTGTTCATGTCATTAATCGTTTCTTGCCTTTAATCATATTTTCCCAGAGGGGCTTTTGGTCGATGGGCTTTTGTACCAAGGGGCTTTTGCCTAAGACTCTCCTGAAGATACGGAATATGGTATTTGATTACAAATACACTGTTTCAACTGTGTCTTAGATATGCATGGATTGGAAGGGAGTTGGGGAGGTTACAGCTTTTTATCCATTGTTCAAGAAGGATACAAGGATTGCTTTCAGCTAGAATGGACTAGGAATATTCAAACTGGAAAATGTTCATATTCATATTCACTGTTTAAACATTTAATGTGCGTAAAGAATTTAGCAGTAGTAAATGTAAGGCAATCAAGAACATCTCTGTGGTAGTTTCGATGTGGTCATTATGATCTAATGTATAATAAAAACATATGTCATGCTTCTGAGAACCAACCCTGTTGTGTGAATCCAGAATGTGTGACGGTGCTAATATTGAAGATGAATATCACGTGCTTCTCATCTGTCCACAGGATGAAGATCTAAGCACCCATTATATACTCAGTATCCCATGTAGGTATACGTTCTGTCCCACAATTCACAAATTCTGTATACTAATGCCAACCGAAAATGTTGCTACCTTTATACAAAATGGATATAAAAGTTAACATGCTTGTACCACTCACCCATTATACCCGTTTTTACGTCTACGACCCCTTCGTCTACATAAAGAATGGATACCTTGAATTTGTCAGAAATTGCTGTGGCGTTCCAGAGTTTGCATGTTCCGGTCTCAGAACAGAAAAGCTCTGCCTCATAACTGGATGGCTCTGCCTCATAACTGAAATGCTCTGACTTATAACTGGATGGCTCTGCCTCATAATTGAAATGCCCTGCCTCATAACTGAAATGCTCTGCCTCATAACTAAAATGCTCTGCCTCATAATTGAAATGCCCTGCCTCATAACTGAAATGCTCTGCCTCATAACTGGATGGCTCTGCCTCATAACTGAAATGCTCTGTGTTTTGTACAATACAACATCTACGATAACAATTCTATTCAAAATACAACATATTTATCGAGGACAGTTCCGGGACCACCCGTGGCTCAGTTCTCCAGGACGTTGTCCACACTTGCGTCTCTTTGGCACGATAGAAACCTTGATCGTGTCCCGATCCCACCTCCATTGTGCTTCTAGGTTAGCCCGCACGACCCCCGTGCTGGTGGGTGTTTTACCCACGTGTCAGCTGTGCAAGAACTACATCACTTGGTGTTAATCTATTTCTTCAAGCTGGCATAGGCCATAAAAGTGGAATATGTTAAATACTTCGTTAAACAAACCATACTGACTCACTCACTCAAAATCATTTTACCTCATCACTGACTTAAGAAACAGTTCTGATGTGACACTACTACAAAATAAAGATGAATAACATGAATAACGAATTTCCGATCTAACCATCCCCAAATTAGCCAACTATTGCAACTGTTAACAGCTTTGACAGCCAGGCATGGTTAAACACTTGGTCCGATCTAGTAAAGTCATATTTGGCGGTCGCGCAAATTTGAACCAGAACTGTTTCTTGAATACATGTATACTCTTGGTACCGTAAGTAGCGCCTCGCGAGACTTACAGGCCTTATGGCTTATGATCTCGAAGGATCTAGCTACTCTCATTTTATCATTCTGATTTCCCTAGTTTCAAAGGGGCGGTGGGTAGCCTAGTGGTTAATCCGTTTAATGGTCGTCATTCAAAGACCTGGATGGATTCCTCACATGGGTACAGTGTGTGGAGCCCATTTTAGGAGTCCCTGCCGTGATATTTCTGGAATATTCCCAAAAGTGGCGTGAGACCTTACTAACTTACTATTTTTGTCTATACTCTGTTGACAGATTCGGTCGAAAAGCGCGTAATTGCTGTTCAGAATACCTCGTATTAACCTTTTAGCGGTTGCATGATGAACGGGTGATAACGTTTGACAAGGTTGGGGCCTTTATTATACGTACACACAAGACAATGACTTCAAAACACGATAGTGACGTCATCGATAGCAGTACACGTAAATGACTGACTGACTGAGTTTGGTTTTACGCCGCTTTTAACAATATTCCAGCAATATCACGGCGGGGGACACCAGAAATGGGCTTCACTCATTGTACCCATGTGGGGATTCGAACCCGGGTCTTCGGCGTGACGAGCCAACGCTTTAACCACTCGACTACCCCACCGCCCACACGTAAATGAATGTGACACATATATTTGTTCTCGTTTAACGCCGATTCGAGGTACTCAAAATGAGCACGGGGTCTCTTAAAGGTACAAAACAGAGACATGGAAATGAAATACAACAATAACTAGACGTCATTAAGCTGTTGAATTATGTAACTATTTATTTTAAGTTTACATTCTTTAAAAACAGTCTGAACAATAGAAAGCACAAAAAGGAATCGGTCGCATTTATTCGTTAGAAAACCTCGACTGAGCGTTGAGCAGGTAGGGGAGACCACTCGCAGGTTTCCCGCTGTCTGGAGCCAGATGGAGCTTCACCAGCTTGCACTCTCTGGCTTCCGGGTCGTCGGCACACAGGAGATGGACGATTGCTCTGAATTTAAAACCAGTCATGGTTGTATACTTTTAACAAATTGCTGGTCGACAATATGTTTATCAACTAACCTGACCTAAATCCATTACTCGGCTGTTTTGTTAGTAAAGGAATGAATGGTTATGTTTTTTCCGCGATATTTTAGTCTTTGACCTTGACCTTTGTGTTGACCTTGACCTTTGTGTTTTTATTCAACTGTTAAGGTCACTCATACTACAAAGAATGCTTCTTCCTCTCTGAAACTGATTAACTGGGGCCGCTGAACTCCGGATGTTTGACGTTGTAACATTTATTTGTTATCAAAGTGTATTTAGGGGACGGTCAACCAGTCGTCTTCAGATCCACAATTCGCTGGAAGAGTTCTGTCCCTTTTGCGCTCTAGGAACCTATGATACCGAGATACCGCCGATCGTGTATCTAGGTTTGTCATGGATCATCAATCGTGGGTTAACACAACTAATCAGAAAGTTATTTTTCAAAACGGTGGGGAAAAACCTAAGGTTGGGAGTTCGAATCCCCGTTCATCCCAAATACGTGTCCGGGTTTGTCAGCGCCATACCTCCGCTCGTGGGCTTCACCAAAGTGTTGAACGTAGACCTGCATCACTATTGTGGATGTTGAAAAATATATAGTGAGTGAGTTTAGTTTTACGCCGCTTTTAGCAATAGTCCCGCAATAGCACGACGGGGGACACCAGAAATGGGCTTCACCATCAAATATGGGGAATCGAACCCGGGTCCTCGGCGTGACGTGCGGATGCTTTAACCATTAGTCTACCCAACCGCCCCTGACAAATATATAACTTAACACATTAAGGACCGTTGGCCTCAATGCTATAATTAACTGCGAGGAAGAAGACAGTATACTCTGGAATTTGGATTTCACCAAAAATGTACAAAGTTGTCAAATCATGACTCGGCTGAAAACAATCCCCGAAACTACGCCATGATACCCTGCTACGTGTACGTCACCGTCAAATAATTATTTCGTTTCATTTTTCTGCAGAGTTCGCAATTCCTTCTATCATATTATGACATCAATTCTGTCATATATTTATTACTATTTTTATCCTCAAATCAGACACAATGTTGACCATCAACACAAATGTAAACTCCAGTTAATTATATAAATTTATATAATTTTATATACGTCATTCTTTGATGACATTTAATCATTTATTTACATTGATTGTATATAGCTGATGCGACCGACATGAGCATGAAGGTGCAGCTGTAACAGTACATGTTATTAATACCTTTTCGTCAAAATGCGTCATTAAGCTAACAGCTCCGTTTTCGATGGTTTAGATTAGATACAAAAAATAACAACCAGAAGCATAAAATTGTTTTTATCTGATCTAACTATACCTGATTAAATATATCTGACCATTACTGTCTGGTTTACGTAAATACACGCAAACATTATTCATACTGCACTTTCAAAATAATGACATGTTGTTTTTTGACATTAATATGACAGAGCTCATTGTCATGACAACATATCCCAAATATACTTCTAATTTTAAAATATTAAATATTATCTTAACCAAAAAGAACATGTAGTTTAGTTTAGTTTAGTTTTGTACTTTTAATCATCACCCATTGTTTATTTTTCAGGTCTAGAAGCGGTTTCATATGATGCAGTGGACTGACTGACTGAGTTTGGTTTTTACGCCGCTTTTAGCAATATTCCAGCAACATCACGGCGGGGGACACCAGAAATGGGCTTCACACATTGTGCCAATGTGGGGATTCGAACCCGGGTCTTCGGCGTGAGGAGCCAACGCTTTAACCACTAGGCTACCCCACCGCCCCTATGATGCTGTGGAACTGTATGTTTAGGAAGCACTGTTTCGTTAATCATCTCAAAGTGTCATATGTACGGAGTATTAAATCTTATAATTTCCGGTTTAATCTCCGGCCGTTCCGGTCCCTGGGGTGGTGGACATTGATACAAACAGGTGATACAGTAGGGTCAGAGATACATAGATATTAGTGCTGACATAAATACTGTTGGTGTGCTTCACCCCAGGGCTACCATGCGCCAGCCGGCTGTGGGTTAGGCTAGTAAACAGTTTCCATGACAACGATTCCATAATGGAATTACGCATGTTGTGCGACAATTGTCGCAGAGGTAAAAAAAGGTTTGATGACATTTATGCTTTAGACTTACTTTCTAGACAGATTTCACAAGTGAGAAGTAAGAACACATTGAGAAGCTAGCAAGTTCTTAGACTTTTAAAAATACAATTTGAAAGATGACTTGGTGATAGGAAAACTCGAATAACATTCTGTCATTGGAACCTCTAAGCGCAGTTACCGAAAACCCTGGCTCCACATCATTATCTATCGACATTAATTATGATTATGATTCACGGATCATCATCGTCACCATCACCACCACCACAACCATCACCATTATCGCCACCACCACCGCCATCATCATCATCACCACCAACTTGATCATCATCATAACCACCATCACCATCATCACCACCACCATCATCACCACCATCATCACCACCACCATCATCATCACATCATCACCACCACCATCATCACCACCATCACCACCACCATCATCATCACATCATCACCACCACCATCATCATCACCATCATCATCATCACCACCATCAGAAAACCATCATCACCACCACCACCACCATCACCATCATCACCACCATCACCATCATCACCGCCACCACCATCATCGTCACCACCACCACCACCATCATCATCACCAATCATCACCACCACCACCACCATCATCATCACCACCATCATCACCACCACCACCACCATCATCATCATCATCATCACCATCATCATCACCACCACCACCACCACCACCATCATCATCATCACCACCATCATCACCACCACCACCCCCACCACCACCATCATCATCATCATCATCATCATCATCACCACCCCCACCACCATCATCATCATCACCACCACCATCATCATCAACACCATCACCATCACCATCAACATCATCATCACCACCATCACCACCACCACCACCACCACCATCACCATCATCACCACCATCTCCATCATCACCGCCACCACCATCATCGTCACCACCACCACCATCATCATCATCACCAATCATCACCACCACCACCACCACCATCATCATCACCACCATCATCACCACCACCACCACCATCATCATCATCATCATCATCACCATCATCACCACCACCACCACCACCACCATCATCATCACCACCATCATCACCACCACCACCCCCACCACCATCATCATCACCACCATCATCACCACCACCACCCCACCACCATCATCATCATCACCACCACCATCATCATCAACACCATCACCACCATCATCATCATCATCACCACAACCATCATCATCATCACATTAATCACCATCATCATCACCACAACCATCATCACACCATCATCATCATCATCACCACAACCATCATCACCACCACCACCATCATCATCATCATCATCATCATCATCACCACCATCATCACCACCACCACCACCACCACCATCATCACCATCATCATCACCACCACCACCACCATCATCATCATCACCACCATCACCATCATCATCAACATCATCATCATCATCATCACCACAACCATCATCATCATCATCATCACCATTGTACATTGCTCATCAATAATACTCACGGGGGATCGTCGATGCATTTAAACTGCAAGTTCCGGTTTCTAATATCATCTGTCAGGTCAACTATGGAGCCATTGTTGCACGTCTCTCTGTCACAGAAGTATAATGGGAATTAATATTTGTGAAACATCATCTGTGATACAGAAGGGAACAGCAACTATGACAGCGTGGGAAATAGCCACTGGCCCGCTAGCTCGTGACTAGTAAAAATCCAGACGGGTCAGTAAATTTCCACAGTAACTGGCCCGACTGGCTAGTGAATTTTCATGGGGTCATTTTGTAAATATATCACTCTCCCCGACTTGTTAGGTTATAATATACTTTTAAATCATGCAAGATTATGGTCTGATAAAATGTTCATCATATTAGCAATTTAATAATGAAACCCGTGTCTTCATTCGAATTTCGTGTTAGTGAATTATTTTGTGGGCTAGTAACTTTCAAGCATAGCTAGCCCGACTGGCTGGCAAAATTTGGAAACTACTTCGCACACTGTATGACATACATGTCTCATCTGCGTTGCCCCGGCAACTATTACAGATGGATAGACAGACTGAAAGCCACTCAGTGAGTGAGTGAGTGCCTTTCTTCTATCAACATTCCAGAACATCATGGCAGGAGACCCAAGAAATTGGCTCTTCATTTTGCACCCATTTGAACGCTGGCTTTTGTGATTGGCTTCTAAATTTTATTCAAAGGACCTAACTGTGTTAATATGTGCATCGTGGCCCTATCTCCTTCGTTGTTTAATGCATTAAGAAAACATTCGGTCTATCTCCCCTTATTATAACCACCCTACCCCCCACCCACCCCCAAATGTCCGTCTTAAGTATTTGTCGTCACATCAACAGTCCTCATTGTATCCGCCGTTGCTAAATGTGTGAAAATAGCCTTTATTTAACTCACTAACTCAATCATGCTATCGAAGACATGTTTGTTTATCCTAAGAGTGAGTGAGGCAGTTGGGTTTTCCAACGCTTTTAGAAATATCCCACCAATATCACTCCAGGGAACATCAGAAATAGGCTTCACAGATTGCACCCAGGGAATCAAACGCGGGTCTTCAGCGTGACGAGCCAACGCTTTAACCAGTAGGCTTCGCTACCGCTCGTCTAAAGAACAATATCTGAAATACAGTTTTCCCAGAAATTATTGAAAAAATCTTTGTTTCCTAATACTGAAAATAGAATTTTGAAATAGGTCTTACATTATGTAGTAAGGTAATGGGAGACAACTCTTGTAGGCTTAAGAATGAACCTTACTACATCAAGAGTTATCTCCAAGGTGTAGCAGACGCCTTCCTTTGTTGACATGGCAGATTTTACAGCAGAAGAGAAAAGAAAGATGGTTCTAGAAGATTTTGAAAGGGGTGTGACAAATGCAAAAGAGTTAGCTAGTAGACATGACATTCCTATGTGTACAGTATACGGAACTTTGAAGAATATTCATTCAAGAGTTGAGACTGAGCACAAGACAGGGGCAGGGAGGCCAAGGAAGTGAGGTGAGGTGAGGTGAAATTGGGTTTAACGTCGTGCTTGAGAATATTTCGCTCATATGACGACGTGCATGCGTGTGTATGTGTATGTGCGGCTGCTTGTACTAGCCCAGACTTAAGCTGGCTTTATAGTGCTAGCCCACTGAGATACCATGCCGCAGTGAAGCATGAATACCCCACTCAGACACATTATACTGACTCTGAGCCGACCAGTCCTTGTTATACCCATAAATGCCGAGCTCCAGGCAGGGGACCAACAAGTACCATATTATAACGTCTTTTGGTATGACGCGGTCGGGGATCGAACCCGCGACCTTCCGCTCTCCGGGCGGACGTTCTAACCACTACACCACGGAGGCGGTCGCCAAGGAAGTACAGTACTACAGATCGCCGGCGACTTGGTCAGATTGTGAGTGGAAAATTGAAAAGCTTTGAGAATATCAGAAATGAGATGATTAAAAGAGGACGTCCTCAGGTATGTAAAGCACGGAATTCCCTCACCATTGATGAAAGATGCACAAAAAGAAAGACGTTTCAACTGGTGTAGGGCTCACGAAAATCAAAATTGGGATAATGTTTACATTTCTGATGAAAGTTCTGTCTCCGAACTGTGAAAATTTGGACAAAATATACCGTGAAACTTATCTACCAAAACCCAAAACATAGCCCGAAATTTCACATGTGGGGTGGGATATCATCACATGGAGTGACACCGTTGTGTATTTTCACTGGAAATTTGACGAATGAACGATATATGGCATCTTAAATGGTCACCTCCTTCCACCGTCCCGAACACTGTGGTATGAAGATAATTGGATTTTCCAGCATGATAACGACCCAAAACACACTGCGGGCTACACAAAACAGTGGTTGTCGGACGAAAATGTTCAAGTTTTAGACTGTCCCAGCTTCAGCCCAGATCTTAACCCTATTGAGAATGTGTGGGGACTAATGAAGGACAGAATAAACCAAAAGGACTTAGAAATATTGAGGATATGAAGAAAGAAGTGGTCGAATATTGGGATACGCTGTCACACCATTTCCTACAAACTTTGATCTTTAAATTTAGTGTACCTAGGCGCATTCAGTCGTGTATTGCAGGGCAAGGAGGTCTCACAAAGTACTGAAAAGAAAATCAATTCTCAACATATTAATTTAAGTAAAACTCTATAATTCATATACATGTATTTGAAATATGCCGAAACAACTTTCTTAATAATTTCTGGGAATACTATACTAATGAAACGTTGCTTTAATCAACAATAAAAAAAACCAAATATTCGACGTCATATTTGGCCATACAATGAACACTTACGATCTCTCGGGAAGCCTATAATATTAAAAGAAGCCATCGATCAATATGGCAGTCAGTGCTTGAAATCAATGATCGACTGAAGATAATAGGCCTTGATGTAACATATTTGACCGTAAACCCCGTCAAACAGTGACTCGTTATGTTTTCCCTAATTAACACAAAAGCGATACCTGGTATTGCTTAATTATGTTTTCCCGCATCCACAAAAATAGACATGCAACAGAACCGTCTACATGTCAGAGGTAACTATGAATCAGTCTGGGCAATATCTTACAAACTACAGGTAAGCATTAATACTCAGAACATGTCGTTATTATAAATCGTGTTGTCATAACAACCAGATCAATATTCATCATTATAGTCTCAACCCAGGTGTCAGTGGTCACATCAGCGGTTAACTCGTGTTTGTGCATGCGTTCGTGTTTGTTTATATATTAGAATAAAATATAAGAAGGACTGACTGACTGAGTTTGGTTTTACGCCGCTTTTAGCAATATTCCAGCAACATCACGGCGGGGGACACCAGAAATGGGCTTCACACATTGTACCCATGTGGTGATTCGAACCCGGGTCTTCGGCGTGACGAGCCAACGCTTTAACCACCAGGCTACCCCACCGCCCCTATATAAGAAGGAGCCCAGAGCAGAAATCTAGACCTGCCACATATCATAGACTTGCGTGGGCATATTACAGACATATTGTGTGTACGTATGTATGTGGCTATACGAAGGTTTGGCAATCAGAACACGATCTGTGTGTACGTAACATTCATACTTCTGTAACACTCCGCGCGTGTGTGCGTGCGTGCGTGTGCGTTTGTATTTATTCACTTAAGAGTTATTTGGAGGAGAGGCTTCCTGTTAATGAATCACCTGAGGAATTGACGTTAAACAGTGAGTGAGTGAGATAGACGTATGCACGCACGCACGCACGCACGTACTACTCACCTGGCCGGACCTCCGATGGCATGTGTGACCAACACCTGCACCTGGACACTCTCGTCTAGGTTCGGCAACTCGTGTTTAGCAAAGAAGCTGGAAGTACAGAGTGAAAATGGACAATGCCAACTACTTAGAGAATAGTTGTATTTCATGTAATCTGTATATATTTATATATATTTAAAAATATTATATTTATGCAATGGTCAGTATCGATGACGTCAAATCCTCCATTTCATGTTGTATTATACGTTACATGGGAGCGGTGTTAACATAAGCAGTAATCCCAATTCATCTTCATGAATAAAAATATGTTTAAATCAAAATGGGCAATGACTGTTTAACAAGCAAACCATCAAAGAGAGTGAGTGAGTGAGTGAGTTTGGTTTTACGCCGCTTTTAGCAATATTCCAGCAATATCACGGCGGGGACACCAGAAATTAGCTTAACACATTGTACCCATGTGGGGAATCGAACCCGAGTCTTCGGCGTGACGAGCGAACGCTTTAACCACTAGGCTTCCCCACCGCCCCCAAACCATCAAAGTAGTAAGGATGCTCTTTAAGTGCATGTTAGCTCTTTATTAAGTCCAGTATTTTGACATGCACTGCAGATATGTAGCGAAAAGATGTGGAGATATTGTCAGGTTAACAGATGAACAAGATACCTTTGTCTGCTGTATGATGGCTTGCCGTCACGTGACCCGTCAAGCACCAAAGTGACCACGCCCTTTGCAGATTTGGCAAACTTTAAAGAGATACAATGTGTTACATAGTTTTACAAAGGCGAGATCAGCAATATTCCAGCTATATAATTAATCGAGATCAACAGCATGAGCATCGATCTACGTAATTGGGATACGATGACATATGTCAACCAAGTCAGCGTGCCTGACCATCCGCAAACCGAAACATGAGTCTCATGAACCAATTCAGACAATGACCTTCTTTTCAGCCGATCCGAATTTTCTTGTGTGAAAATGAAAAGAGACACTACAAACAACTATGGTTAAAGGAAATTCCAATTCCTTGTTTCATAAGGAAATGGTATTTACAAATGAATTGAATTTCTATATTTTATAAAGAGGTTTAGGCAGCGTGATTTTAACTAAGAGGTCACAGACTGTCCCTGTATGAAGAGGTAGCAAAATGAATCACAATTCATCTGGCTCACTGGTTACACCTGTTATGTGTTTTTAGCGCGCATTCGGTTTATTCTGTAACGTACAATGTGATTTGATAAGATATCAAGGTCGTACAAGACCGCCAAACATTTCTAGCGGCGGAGCCTCGTTTTGAGATTTCCACGATTTCCAGATTTCCGTCTGTCAGAGCACGCTGTACGACAGAGCACGCCGCACGACGTGTTTGCGAGGGTTATAAGGAGCGTAGTGTTGCAATATACATACATGATTAGATGTATCAAATAATACTGATTAATATCTATATATCCAGTTGAATGAGTTGGTCTCAGAATTTTGGACTGGTTATTGTACTAAGTTGCGCAACAGGACGGAACCCAGTCAACAGGAAACGAGATTGTTGTGTATTTAATGTTTTGACGTGTCCAATATGGCGCCTCTTGTTACAAGCATGCTGAAGACCAATTCTAACCCGGATCTTCTCGGGTATTCAAGTAGGGCAGACCATTCCATTTCAACTTAACAGTGACGCAGTGCACGTGAAGTTGCTTTTCCTCGTGTATTAGTCAATGCACAGCATCCACTGTACATGGAATTCGTGCTCCACGTGCAGTCGAACTGGCGTGTCAAAGCACATACCCGGACTTCACGTGCGCTGCGCCCGGAGAGTGGGTTCACGTCCATCAGTCCGATCTTCAGACAACTTAGGGACCGTTCATAATTTATGGTGTGTGTGTGTGTGTGTGTGCGTGCGTGCGTGTGTGGCGTGCGTGCGTGCGTGCGTGTTGATGATTATTATGGAGAAGCATGTACAATGTGAATGACACCCCCCTAAAATTTATGTACAAAATAAGTGAACCCCCTGCATGTCATGTACAAAATCAATGGACCCCCTACCCATAATTTTAAATATATATTTTATGTTCAAAATTGATGACCACATCGAACCCAGGTCTTCGGCGTGACGAGCATTGATTTTGTACATGACATGCAGGGTTGGGTCACCTACTTTGTACATAAACTGTACGGGTGGGGGTCATTCACATTAAAATCAGCATCACACCACCACCACCCATAAATTATTAACAGTCCCTTATAATAATAATTTGGTAGATAGAACAAATAATTTATCAGTAATAAACATCGCCGTAATGTGACCAGCACCTGTGTCTGCTCATGTCTTGAAACAGTCCCGATTTCAAAAGTATTCCTTGTTTTAGACACAATATGGCAGAAAACTGTCGATGTGACTGCAAACTTTAACTCACTCACTCAACTGTGTATTGCAATACTCACAGTTGCGGATGCCGACGCCCAGAATGACTCACTAGCCTCCAGCGGGCAGTCAGTCCACGAGGGGCACCGACTTAAATTCATTCCGCTGGGGTCGGACGCTGACCCACACCACACGATGCTGTTGGCCAGGTACCCGATCAGGGTGTCCTCGAGGGTCACGTATCGTCCACTGTCCTGGGCATACTCGTGGGCGATGACATAGGTCCCAGACCAGAACATCGCCTTAAAATACAAACAGTGTCCTAGAAGGTAGACCTTCAGTTTTGGTTTTTGGTTTGGTTTGTTGTTTTACGCCGCACTCGGTAATATTCCAGCGATATGGCGGAGGTATGTAAATAATCATTAAAAACACACGGACAATTTTCAAGCATAAGATATGCGCATTATGTGTTTGAGCGCTCAAATCTCACCAGACATCGAATTCGACAACTAACGACGATATTATTGTGGTCTGTTATATTATCTTATGCTCTAATATACAGAAGAATTTAATTGTTTTCTTGTGGCCATTTTGCCAAATATGAAAAATTACATTTGAATTTTCAGAATGGGACAAGTATGTCTCGTGCCAATGTGTAGAGGGCATACAATAGAATCTGAAAAGTGAGTGAGTGAGTTTATTTTTACGCCGCACTCAACAATAATCCAGCTATATGGCGGCGGTCTGTAAATAATCAAGTCTGGACCAGACAATCCAGTGATCAACAGCATGAGCATCGATCTGCGCAATTGGGATACGATGACATGTTTCAACCAAGCCAGAGAGCCTGACCACCCGATCCCGTTAGTCGCCTCTTACGACAAGCATGGGTTACTGAAGGTTCATTCTATCCCGGACTTTCACGGGTCTGACGTGTAAGCTTAATACACCAGAAGTGAGTGAGTTTTACGCCGCACACAGCTATATGGCGGAGGTATGTAAATAATCGGATCTGGACCAGACAATCCAGTGATCAACAGCATGAGCATCGGTCTGCGCAATTGGGAACCGATGACATGTTTCAACCAAGTCAGCGAGCCTGACCACCCGATCCCGTTAGTCGCCTCTTACGACAAGCATGGATTACTGAAGGTTCATTCTATCCCGGACTTTCACGGGTCTGACGTGTAAGCTTAATACACCAGAAGTGAGTGAGTTTTACGCCGCACTCAGCAATATTCCAGCTATATGGCGGCGGCCTGTAAATAATCGGATCTGGACCAGACAATCCAGTGATCAACAGCATGAACATCGATGACAGTCAGCGAGCCTGACCACCCGATCCCGTTAGTCGCCTCTTACGACAAGCATGCGTTACTGAAGATCAATTCTAACCCGCATTTTCACGGTCATGTACAAGGAAGGCTTGAGGGATGCAATTAACGACATGTGTGAAATCAAACCAAGAGCCACACCCTGGCGAGCTAAGATAAGGTGCCATCCTTTGACGCTTTTGGTATGACTGACTACAACCTCCCGTTCTAACCTTGATCAGGGCAAATCTAGGATGCATGAGCCAATTTGGCTACACGTGATCACAGAAAGAAAAGGGGTGTTTGGATAAATTGGTTTTAAGCCACTCTAAACTGTAGTGTATATAAAACAAATGGGCAGAATTATCATGAAAAGGATGCAGGATATGTTAATATTGTATGAGAGACCCATATAAGTGGATAAAAAAGTTAACGATTTTCTTTCGTAAACTATAAGGGTGAGCTTCAGTACCTGCGGTAACCGGTGAAGGTGAAAGGTTTTACCTTGTTTACGGGCAGATCTTGTTTGGCCATGTCCATGAATTCCTGGTAGTTCTGCATGGAGAGGGAACAAGGGGGTTGGAAGGAAAACGATTTGAAGAATGCATTCCACAGAGCTTCACAGTCCACGTCAACGTTCGTCCTGGAAATGAGTGTATGAGTGAGTGAGTTTAGTTTTACGCCGCTTTTAGCAATATTCCAGCAATATCACGGCGGGGGACACCAGAAATGGGCTTAACATATTGTGCCCATGTGGGGAATCGACCTGGAAATAGAAGGTGGAACTACATATCTGAGTTTAGTTTTACACCGCTTTTAGCAATATTCCAGAAATGGGCTTCACGCATTGTACCGATGTTGGGAATCGAACCCGCTCTTCTGCGTGGTGAGCGAACGCTTCACCCACCAGTCTATCCCCACCGCATCTCATACGGCAAGCAAAGTCCCACGGAGGGGGTTTGTTAACGCCCCACACAGCAACATGCCAGCCACGTGACGGCGGTCTGTGGACAATTGAGTCTGGACCAGACAAACCAGTGGTTGATGTAATGAGCTTCACACTTTGTCGTCGGGGTACGATGATACGAAATTATAAATTTGGCCGAGCCTGCAACCTGATCCTTTTTGTGGCCTCGAACTACCAGCATAGGTTCTTTGTGATATGTTTGTTTCTGCATCAACAAATACATAATCAGATATCCCTATCCAAGTCCTTATGATAGCCCATTGGTTAGGTACCTCACGACAATAAAACACTTATAATCCCTACATGAAAAAATACTTTTATTCTTTTTCACAGACTCGAATAGCCACATAAATATACTAAGCAGCAAAAGAAACGTCAGTTTGGAAGTTTCCTTCGCAGAAACGGATAACTGTAAATTCATTTAATGTTTTGATTGTATATTGTTGACAACATCTCCAACTTTACCTGAGCAAAGACAGTCCTTCCCAAACTCAGAATGGAACCCAGGAAGTGGTCTCAAAAACACTACCTGATCTCGGAGATGGCACGGTGTTCTCCATGTTTTTCATGCAACTCATGCTGCATGTGCTGTTCACAAGGACCAGCCCCATTAAATGCACCCCCAAACCTGGTTGAAACATTCACATTACAACGCCAGCAGGATGCCCCTTCTCACGACAGCTCAGAGGAACCAGGCGCTAGGAAGACTTGAAGCTGGCCACATTGCACAAGCCGTTGCCAATCATTTCCAGGTCAACGCTCGGACCATATACAGGCTGCAGCAACGTTTCCGGGCCACCAACACAACAAATGATCGCCCCCGTACTGGCAGACCAAGGGTGACCACAAGACAAGACCTCCATGTTGAGCGACAGAATCCCTTCATGCAGGCATCCGAAACAGCATGCCAGACAGTGGCAACACACGGAAGACCAAACAGTACTGGTACAGTACGCCGACGTCTTAACAGCGGGAACCTCCATTGCCGTAGACCTTACCGTTGACCTATCCTCACCCCTCGTCATCGGCGTGAATGTCTACAGTTTGCCCTACAACACCACAACTGGCGATACAGGCAATGGAGAACTTTTCTGTTCACAGATAAGAGTCAGTACTGCGTATCAGCTGCATCTGGCAGAACAAGAATATGGCGACGACATGGCCAGCGTTACTCAGACCAATGTGTTATGGAAAAAGACTCGTGGGGAAGTATGCATCATGGTCTGGGGTGGAATAGGCCTGAACCAGAGAGTGGGCCCTGCGGTGTTCCAGAACCTTGGTCCAGGGAGAGGAGGCGGCATCACAGCGGTGCGCTACATCGACCAAGCTCTCAGACCCCACGTCATACCACATTTCGCACGTCACCGCAACAACATTTTCCAGCATGATACCGCCCGGGCCCATACTGCTAGAGCTACACGGGACTCTTCCTACAGCAGAACGGTGTCAACATTATGCAGTGGCCAGCCCTTAGTCCTGATTTAAAACCAATTGAACATCTTTAGGATGAAATTCAGAGGAGACTGAATAATGTCATACCAAGGCCAAATACAGCCGATTTAATGCACCAGGCCTTTCTCAGAGTGTGGTTCCAGGTGCCAATGGCCTTCATCAATCGACTGGTCCACTCCATGCATAGCCGCTGTGCTGCAGTTATTGCCGCTTGTGGTGGTCACACTAGATACTGAAGTCAAGAGTCTGATTTGACTGCAAACGTTCACGTATTGTATTGTTATTGTGCTCAGCTATTCATTGATGTGTCAAGATATTGTACCAAAAAAATGTCTTTGATCCGCTCTTTATGTCCATTTCTGTAATGATTTGATTACAGTGCCTGTCTAATTTTGAACGTTCTTTTGCTGCTGATTATAATTCAACAAGTTTTCAAAAAGTTACAATATTTACCATTTTGGAACCGGTTAAAGGAGTCTGTAAATGTCAATATGTTGCATCTCCAGTCAACATATCATTTCATAAGGGGTGACTGTACAGACAATTTCAAAATAGTGTTACTGACTAAAACGTGCTATTCTTTCAGCTCTTGTGTTTCAATACCACGAAAAGGGAAATCTATTTATCTAAACTTAAAATGACACATTGGTTCTGCTTCCCGTTATGGATTTTCTTAATTCAAAGTTTTATGAGAGGCAGGGAAATTGTGTAAAGAATGTGGAACAGGTACGAACAAATCCAAATCGTTGACGCTTCACTGGACACGTTATACAAACACCTTCTGTTAAACAATACATTCCGGAAATCTTTCCATTATAAAATGGTTGATGTATTCAGCATGGTGAGCCCTTCGTTATTGGGTTGAATATATAATCAATCTCTGTATTAGCAGACATGTTGTATAACAAGACTGCGTCTTACACGAGTAATTTGGAGACTAAGTCTGACAAATTAAGATTAATGCGGTAATAACATTTCATGTTGACTTCGTATGTTCTCATTAGACAGTCACGTCATTATCGTTCAAATGTTACTGCTGGGTAATTTATAAGAAATAATTATCAAGTCGCATTAATTATATCAAGAGAAATAATTTGCCACTTTTGGCATCACTTTGGTCTTCAAGCAAAGTTGTACTTACGCAAAACTAGCCCGTTTGAGACAAATTCTGATTGTTTCCTTCTTCTGTTTTGTGTATGTGTGTGTGTGTGTGCGTATGCGCACTAAGTTTGATTAAAGGTCACATGCAACGTAAAACACAACTTTGCAGATTATGATACCTTTCGGTATGGACTTACGAAACAAATCATCCAAAATGCAAATTCAACTTATGAAGTTGAAAAATAACGCGATGAAAAAACCCGCGCGAAATCGGAGTTCAAACGATTCACTAATTTTCCCCCAAGTTGGTTCAACGGGGCTTCGCTGCGCTGGACTGCGCTCATAGCACATGCGCAGTGATATAGGTTCGCGCAGCTTGGAAGCGGGTTGTCCGGTAAATACTCGGTGAAGGCTTTGGTGTGAGCTATTTTTCTAATGTTTGGTGATATTTCACAGGCGCGAGCTTTTTATATGTTATGACAGTAGATTACCGATTTAACTGTTTATATAATTTCATTTGTCTATTTCACCACACGTTCTTCTTACCTAGTCACTTTCTCAGTTCGATACTTAAAACCAATGTCATTATTTAGCGTTGACAGAATTTCTAACTGTGATAAGATATGACGTTGTCACAGACAAAACTCAATGTCTGTTTTATTGACACATATGTGTCTGCCTGCCTGTCTGCTAATGACAATATTCAATACACAACTTCGATCACTGACCACATGCAATTTGAACTTAACACCAATCAGGCTATATATACACCATAAACAAAACGCATTGCTTTATGGCCCGAGTTCGGTCTCTGTCACATTATGTAATTACACCGACAGGCAGGTGTGATACTTGTACACATGACATGTTATGATGTCTGTTGATTACAAAATGTTATACACAAAAAATGAGCATGTATTTACAAAACCCAACATCTCTCTATATACACACACAATGACCCGTGAGGGCATCTGCAAATGAACCAGCCGTTACACTTGAGTGCTCACCCACCCGCTCTGACTGGGTTCGGTATCCCGGGTGCTTCATTTCTTGGGAAGTAAACCCAAGTACAAAATATTGCACTTTTGATTTGCGATTGTACGCTTATAATTTTGTTTATGTTTTTCATAATCAGCAATGTATATTATATTCATGAATAAGTGATAATTGTGTTTTAATTATGTTTGATTTTTTGGTTGCATGTGACCTTTGACATTTAATTTGATAGTCATACATAGACTTAAACGTGGTGAGGTCATTTATACTCTAAGGTAAATGCAACTTTTTGTGTGCTTAATGGGCACTATAAACAACATGCTGGAACATGCAGTGAAGCAACTGATTCAATATCCGTTGAGTTTGAGTGAAAGGAAACATTGTCAAAAACAGCGAAAACCAATAGTGCTAAACACACCAGCACCATGTTTGATCCGAACGCCCAAACACAGCAGTCTAGTACATATGGACGACAGACTTCCATGCAGCTTGTGGCAACGAATATAATCAGTTCCTTCACTGCATGTTTTAACATTTGGTTTAAAGTGCCCATTAAGTCCTTTACCAAATGACCGCACCACGTTTACAGTGCGAAAACTCAGTGGTCTCGGAAGAATCTGAGGTGAGAACTTACAAAAATGATCATCGTTCATTAATTTTCTGTGCGTGAAATGAAATAAAACAACAAAAGATCATATATATGAGTAGATCGATCATTACTTTTTATACCCAAAACGTCTCTTTATTTATTTGAATTCAATTTACAGAGGTTTAAAGTCTAGCAGGACTGGCTGGCATAAGAGATAGTGAGTGACCAGCTTACATTGCCGATCGCGTGTATTGTGAAACTGAAACTACATTCATATTAACTCGGAGAAACAAAAAAACAACAACAATAAAGCCTGTTCAACCGAGCAGATAGATAGGCAAAGAGGCCAGCCGGCATGACCCCCCTCGTCATCAATGGCAAAATAACCTGCGTGATCCCACGGACATATATTTTCGGATCCCCTGTAAACCCAACGCTTAATTTCGGATCTTAGCGTTGTTAGCCGCTGAGCGTGCGGTCTCGCAATGACACCGCTTGGCCGAGTCGCCAACCAGGCCGATATGATATTTCGGATCAGATTTCCGACCTTACGGACCAACCGGTCGCCATTAAAGCCGACACGAGCTGACATGGCCTAACACGACAATCCGAACTATCGGGTCACGCAGTCTCGACTGTGAACCGACCAGCGACCGTTAAACAATCGGCAGTTGACCTGGTCCCCGTTAATCCAATCAAGTTTCGGATCTTCGGGACTATGCGACTAAGGGACCGTACAATCCCGGATCGGCACACTGTCTACACAAGCGTCATTCCATTCTTTTTTTCCCCTATTTCAAATAACAAACGAAACCCTAGTCCTAAATTATAAGTAGATATCCCGGTTCCCCATTTTGATTTTCTTGAGTAAAAAATATCATGAGTTCACAAAAAATGGCTAAAAATCTGGCGCACCGATGAATTTACAGTTGGCAGAATGTCGCAATGTATTATTTACATTATCACCACTAATTTTCAGTTTTAAATTGTGTGGCAGTTATTAAAGTGAGTGAGTGAGTGAGTTTAGTTTTACGCCGCACTCAGCAATATTCCAGCTACTAGTATATGGCGGCGGTCTGTAAATAATCGAGTCTGGACCAGAAAATCCAGTGATCAACAGCATGAGCATCGACCTACGGAATTGGGATACGATGACATGTGTCAACCAAGCCAGCGAGCCTGACCACCCGATCCCGTTAGTCGCCTCTTACGACAAGCATGGGTTACTGAAGGCCAATTCTAACCCGGACCTTCACGGGTCCACTTATTAAAGTAAAATGTTTAAGGTGAGATTCGATGTGTTACTTAGTGATCGATGTTTATATCAGGTAGTGAAAAAATCGCGATCCGCGATATAACGGTGTATCATCCCACGCCTAGTATTTTGACGTCACAGGGCACTGTTCTGCTGAGGGTGCTTTACCTTTTTATGGAACGGTATTTCAAAGATTCATAAACATTCATAATAGAGGTATTACGGAAGTAGGAAAATGTACAATAAATGTGTAAATTAATTCACATTTTCTTGAATAAATCACGTTTTGAAAGCACAGTTCATATTTTCACGGACATTAAATGTTTTTCCGTCAATGAATGTAAAAGAACTACATAAAGCACACGGTTTCATCGACTTCACTTTTAGTTTCTTATTTTCCATATGTTTTGTTTGTTTCACGCTCACTCAGGAATTTTCCAGCTATATGACTACTTTCCGTAAATATTCGAGTCTGGGTCAGACAATTCAGTGATTGACATCACGAGCATCGGTCTAAGCAGTTGTATTCTCCTTGTGAGAAAGAAGCCATTATTAAGGATTCGCTTATAGTTCTGTCTTTTACTGTCTATGATTATAGTTTATTTAGTGACATTTATTGTTGAAATTCTTCACAATTATTTTGAGAATTCAATGTCTTCCAAAATTTCCGGTTTGGATTATAAAGGTTGCAGCAAAAGGGACAAAACCAGGTATATCTTTAATTTTGCAAGACCACAACTGGGTTTTATGAAGAGTCGTTAATTTCGTCCTGAGATATTTCTCTAGGATAATTTCTTACCATTTGTAAATCCATCGATAAGGGTGTGATTAATATGTCGTACAACTACTGACATGAATTGTAACTGAGATATTGTTGGGAATCTGTTGGTTTGTAAATAGTGTTATTACATCAAGGAAAGACGGGCTTTTTATATAATATGCAATGAAAAAGTGAAAGAAGAATGTTCGATGTATATCATTTTTGTTCAGCAGGCGATGATTGCTTGATTTGTTGTTTAAAGCCGCACTCAGCAATATTTCAGCTATACGGCGGCGGTCTGTAAATAATCCAGTCAGGACCAGGCAATCCACTGATCAACAGCATGAGCATCGACCCAAGGAATTGAGATATGATGACATATGTCAACCAAGTCAGCAGACCTGACCACCCGATCCCGTTAGTCCCCTCTTACGACAAGCATGGGTTACCGAAGATCAATGACGACACAAGAGCACGTCTTAATCTTAATCTTGATATAAGTCAGTATATAAATAGTTGTTGGATACAAATAAAAAATATACAGTTTTATCTAAGGGATCTTAAAACACTTACAGTTTGCCAAAGGACAACTTTACTTACCAGGTTAGAATTAAAAATCTTGCGTTTTTAATGTAAGTGTGTCGCAAGGGTTGCAATTTTACCCAGGTATATAATCATTATTGGCTAGCTCTGTCATTGTATACCAATTTCGCTGCTCATGATGCCAATCACTGGATTGTCTGGTCCAGACTCGATTATTTACTAACGCCGTCATGTAGCTGGAATATTGCTGAGTGCCGCTTTAAGCAACAAACAAACAAACAAACAATACACACTGGAAATGAACCGAACTTCCACACATCCGCTTCCTTTGAAACGAAAAACAATATGAATATGAACATGTTAAGCAAGTGAAAGGTGAACTATTGAATCTTCGCTTTTCCTTGTATACTGAACAACATTTGAAACACACCACACTAAAATGCACCGACGATGCTCAGATATCATGGGTACATTTCAGTCTGACGGGGATATTTTGTATCAAATGGGTTGTGCGTTTCTAATGTTGTTCAGTATACAAGGGAAAGCGAACGATTCAAAGTTCACCTTTCACTTGCTTAACATGTGTATACGGTTTCACAGTACAAAGTGAACAGCTTTCGATTTATTCTAATACAATGAACTTGTCATTTCAACACTGTTTAATCTTTACAATTGTTTATTGTTTTCGGAAAACCTGACCGTTTCTTGAAAAGTCACTGAAGCTCACATAAAATATCTTTATGACTTTGCAAGCGGTGGATGTAAGGAAACATCCCTTTGGTTCATTGTTGCGTTGAAATCTGATACCATTGCTTAAAGTTAAGACATCTTACAAATAATGTCCAAGTAGTGTGTGTAGAAGGCATTTTATGTCTTTTAAGCATTTGGGATACGCAATGCCTATTATAAATGTGACAAAGGTTATAGCTTGGTAAGACTTTCTGAGAGTACAGTTTGTAGAACGCTTATGCGGTTGAGCCCCCTCAGAGATTCGAACGGACACCCTCAGAGTGAAGCACCCGATCGACAGCAACCCAAGTGAGCGATCTAACCCACTGAGCCACTGCGGGGTTCCACAAAGTGGATGTGTGACAATGCTAGACTAGATCGCGTACTTTGCGTACCCCTCTAGCAAGCGTAACCTTTCACAGCCGAAAGTATGAATATGTGCCTTTTGTTGAAAAATGCAGACATCCCTTATATAATCACCATCATTGCCAATAGGCAAACAATATAACCGATTACATAGGCACAAACCGGTGCAGGCGTCTAAACAATAATATTACGTTTCCTTGATATTTACTTAGAGATAAATTTAAAAATGCGCTTAATAAATAAGAGATTATGAAACTTACATCGTCATCAGCGTTTTGTATTTGATAAGGTTGTAGTCCCAACATCGGCCGACAAATATCTCCGACAGGTGAGGCGTCGTTCCAGGGTTGTCACTGGTGACGTCATACACACATGACGTCATCACAAGGAGTGACAACAAAATTGTGATTCTTCTCATTTTCTTTCAGATGATTGGGCCTAAAATATAGAAATATATAGCAGATAAGATAACGACATATGTAGGAATATGACAGTTTAATATTACTACAGAATTTACTTTAGGTGAAAAATATGGATGTCTTTCAAAGGCATGCCGTGACGCTTTATCCCATGTTCTCATTTCAGTGTCAAGATATATGTATTGCATCCACTGTTAGTACTGCTTTATCGTTGTACATTATATTCACCATTGTGGTGATATATCGGGGAGGTCTGTACTGGATGTATTATATTCACAGCCAGTAGTGATATAGCGGGGAGGTCTGTACTGGATATATGATATCACCACCAGTAGTGATATAGCAGGAAGGTTTATACTAGATATATGTTATTCACCATTGTTGTGATATATCGGGGAGGTCTGTTCTGGATATATTATATTCACCACCAGTAGTGATATATATCGGGGAGGTTTGTACTGGATATATGTTATTCACCATTGTGGTGATATATCGGGGAGGTTTGTACTGGATATATTATATTCACCACCAGTAATGATATATCGGGGAGGTTTGTACTGGATATATGTTATTCACCATTGTGGTGATATATCGGGGAGGTCTGTACTGGATATATTATATTCACCACCAGTAGTGATATATCGGGGAGGTTTGTACTGGATATATGATATTCACCACCAGCAGTGATATATCTAGGAGGTCTGTACTGGATATAGGATATTCACCACCAGTAGTGATATATCGGGGAGGTTTGTACTGATATATGATATTCACCATTTGGTGATATATGATATTTATTCACCATTCGATATATCCATTGGTGATATATCAGGGAGGTTTGTACTGGATATATGATATTCGCCATTGTGGTGATATATCAGGGAGGTTTGTACTGGATATTCACCATGATATTCGCCATTGTGGTGATATATATCTGTACTGGATATAGGGAGGTCGGGGAGGTTTGTACTGGATATAGGATATTCACCACCAGTAGTGATATATCGGGGAGGTTTGTACTGGATATATGTTATTCACCATTGTGGTGATATATCGGGGAGGTCTGTACTGGATATATTATATTCACCACCAGTAGTGATATATCGGGGAGGTTTGTACTGGATATATGATATTCACCACCAGCAGTGATATATCGGGGAGGTCTGTACTGGATATAGGATATTCACCACCAGTAGTGATATATCGGGGAGATCGGGGAGGTTTGTACTGGATATATGATATTCGCCATTGTGGTGATATATCGGGGAGGTTTGTACTGGATATATTATATTCACCACCAGCAGTGATATATCGGGGAGGTCTGTACTGGATATATGATATTCACCACCAGCAGTGATATATCGGGGAGGTCTGTACTGGATATAGGATATTCACCACCAGTAGTGATATATCGGGGAGGTTTGTACTGGATATATGATATTCGCCATTGTGGTGATATATCGGGGAGGTTTGTACTGGATATATTATATTCACCACCAGTGGTGATATATCGGGGAGGTTTGTACTGGATATATGTTATTCACCATTGTGGTGATATATCGGGGAGGTCTGTACTGGATATATTATATTCACCACCAGTAGTGATATATATCGGGGAGGAGTTTGTACTGGATATATGATATTCACCATATGTTAGCCAGTGATATATCGGGGAGGTCTGTACTGGATATAGGATATTCACCACCAGTAGTGATATATCGGGGAGGTTTGTACTGGATATATGATATTCACCATTGCAGTGATATATCGGGGAGGTTTGTACTGGATATATTATATTCACCACCAGTAGTGATATATCGGGGAGGTTTGTACTGGATATATGATATTCACCACCAGCAGTGATATATTGGATATAGGGAGCAGTGATATATCGGGGAGGTTTGTACTGATATATATATTCACCACCAGTAGTGATATATCGGGGAGGTTTGTACTGGATATATGATATTCGCCATTGTGGTGATATATATCAGTAGTGATATATCGGGGAGGTTTGTACTGGATATAGGATATTCACCACCAGCAGTGATATATCGGGGAGGTCTGTACTGGATATAGGATATTCACCACCAGTAGTGATATATCGGGGAGGTTTGTACTGGATATATGATATTCACCATTGTGGTGATATATCGGGGAGGTTTGTACTGGATATATGATATTCACCACCAGTAGTGATATATCGGGGAGGTTTGTACTGGATATATGATATTCACCAGTAGTGATATATCGGGGAGGTTTGTACTGGATATATGATATTCACCATTGTGGTGATATATCGGGGAGGTTTGTACTGGATATATTATATTCACCACCAGTAGTGATATATCGGGGAGGTCTGTACTGGATATATGATATTCACCACCAGCAGTGATATATCGGGGAGGTCTGTACTGGATATATATATGATATTCACCACCATTGATTCACCACCATTGTAGTGATATATCGGGGAGGTTTGTACTGGATATATGATATTCGCCATTGTGGTGATATATCGGGGAGGTTTGTACTGGATATATGATATTCACCATTGTGGTGATATATCGGGGAGGTTTGTACTGGATATATGATATTCACCATTGTGGTGATATATCGGGGAGGTTTGTACTGGATATATGATATTCACCACCAGTAGTGATATATCGGGGAGGTCTGTACTGGATATATTATATTCACCACCAGTGGTGATATATCGGGGAGGTTTGTACTGGATATATTATATTCACCATTAGTGGTGATATATCGGGGAGATTTGTACTGGATATATTATATTCACCATTAGTGGTGATATATCGGGGAGATTTGTACTGGATATATTATATTCACCATTAGTGGTGATATATCGGGGAGATTTGTACTGGATATATTATATTCACCATTAGTGGTGATATATCGGGGAGATTTGTACTGGATATATTATATTCACCATTAGTGGTGATATATCGGGGAGTGTTTAGACCGGATGTATCATCTCCACCACTTGTAAATATTCTAAGCCCTGAGCAACCTAACGCTTATTATAAACAATCACTAGGTTGTCTGATCCAAACTCAATTATTTCCAGGCATACGTCATATAGACACCAAAACACACATACAAAGTGGCCAAATGTATAAAAAAACCGAAAGGTTTTGTAAGCATAAACCAGTGTACACATTTTCAATGAACATCAAGGTTATTCATGTTTCATGTACGTGAAAAAGGCCACAGTACAACGTTATCAGTAGTTCTCTCTTCACTCGCATCTTTCATCCATCCTGGATTCAGTCCTTTACTGCAACTTCTTCCGCCATCAAAATACACATGGACAATATACCGTTAGCATCCGAGTCGTCTACTCACCTGACTCCGCGAACTGTTGATCAAGGCAGGTGTGTTGAAATAACATTATCTGTTGTGTGTTTACCTGTTATAACTTGACAGATATTAATCAACCTGTTTGACAAGACAATCACCTGTGTAAGTAAGGTGTGTATACATTAAAATATCATATTGCGGTCAGCGTGTACTTAGATGATTGTGTGTGTGGGCGAGTCGCTCCAATCCGATAATCTGACTTATGTTGAAATAACGTAGGTGGTTCCCGTCCGTACCAGTGATGATAATCTGGAAGAAGTGCAAGATTGCAATATGAATTTTTAAACGTGAAATGTCAATACGAGATATTTTCCTCCTTACCTGTGTGTTCCGAATTCACAAAACCCCCTGAAGATTTTATTTGATATATATTTGTTTTAGGAAAGTGTTCTAACGACGAAGAGACAGAAGTGAGAGACAGGAACAAGAACACAGGTAGAGCAGAGACAGAAGAACAGAAGACAAGACAGAAGTGGGAACAGAAAGGGCCGGAAGACCACAAGATGGAAACAAGACAAAGACAGACAGACAGAAGGAACGGAGAATTAAGGATAGAGACGAACAGTCAGAGACGAGGATCGGCAGAAGACAGAAGGTGGACAGAGACAGGAGAACAGACAGAACAGGACAGAGACGAACAAAGAAGGAACAGAAGATTAAGAACAGAGACGGAACAGTCGACAGGTCAAGATTTCGGTAAAGATGCGAACAAAGCTGAACAAAAGCAAAGCGAAGATGAACAGAAAGGGACAAGAAGTTGAGAAACGGAGGAACAAGAGCAAGGACAGAAGACGGAACAGACCAGAACAAGAAGGGAGTGGGAACAGAGACGAACAGTCAGAACGAGTGAAGACAGGAGACAGAAGACGGAGACAGTCAGAAACAAAGTCGAAGAACAGATTTCAGAAGACAAAATTAAAACCGTTTTCGTTCGGAAGGCAAGACGAAGAAGCAGAAGACAAGGGTGAAACGGAAGGAACAGACAAGACAAGAAGAACAGGTTTCGAGACAAGAGAACAGAACAGTCAGAACAAAGTGAAGGAACAGACAGACGAACAGAAGAAGAACAGAACAGAACAGTCGACAAGTCGAAGACTCGTCGTTTCGAAGGATGAAAGTCGACAGACAGGTTTCAAAACAGAAACAGGACAGAACAGAAGGAGTGGAACAGAAGACAGGAAGACAGGCCGAAACAGGACAGACGAACCAGAAGGAACAGAGGATTAAGAGACAGAACAGAGGAACAGAAGTGAACAGAAGACGGGTGCCAGTCAGAAGAACACAAGAAGACGGAACAGACAAGAAGTCAGAGATGGAACCACAGAACAGAGACAGAACGGACAGAAGGACAAGAGGAACCGGTCGACAGGACAGAGCAAGATTCCTGAAGGGTGGGCACGCATTAAGTGAATACCTGGACTCTTTTAATCGTTTATATTTCGAAGGTCAAATTCGTACTGGTAGAATTTATGAACAATTTAACAGGACCCGTGAAGATCCGGGTTAGAATTGATCTTCAGCAACCCATGCTTGTCGTCAGAGGCGACTAACGGGATCGGGTGGTCCGGCTCGCTGACTTGGTTGACACATGTCATCGTATCCAAATTATGTAGATCGGTGTTCATGCTGCTGATCACGGGATTGTTTGGTCCAGACTCGATTATTTACAAACCGACGCCATATAGCTCGAATATTGCTGAGTGCGTCGTAAAACTAAACTCACTCATCAACAAAAGAGATCGATTGTAGTGGTTTTAGTACTGACAGTTTTCTGAGAGGGCAGGTCATGCAGTCTGAGATTGAATGTGTAAACAATCAAGGAACAAAGTTTTCTGTCTCCGTAGTTGACCACATCAGAGTGTTTGCCTTCTTCAGAGATACGCCACAGTCAAGTCGCTAGCTGCCGCACTTTGTACACCCTGATACAGACACGCATAGCTGTGTTGAAGGCGGAGAGAGCGTATTGTCATCTACGTTGTGAGGGTTTGAGCTATCTCGGTCGTCGGCGATAGTGTAAGCAAAAATTTAGGTCACTGGGACACTAAAATACATAATGTCACAGTTTTCTCTCATAAAAAGGTCATATAAAATACTTCTGTGCTGTGACTGAAAGTATTTTCTAGGGGAGGTGGGGTAGCCTAGTGGTTAAAGCATTTGCTCGTCACGCTTAAGGCCAGGGTTCGATTCCCCACATGGATACAATGTGTGAAGCCCATTTCTGGTGTGCCCCGCCGTGATGTTGCTGGAACACCAGAAATTGGCTTCACACATTGTACCCATGCTGGGAATCGAACCCGGGCCTTCGGCGTGACGAACGATCGCTTTAACTATTAGGCTACCCGACCGCACCTCACCTTATAAAACACAGGAACATTTGGTACAAATCAAATTATGGGAATTGTATGCAGTGTATGAATTAATTTTGATAAATCACTGACCAGGAGGGCAAGTTATGTAAATATTGTTGCTACCATACTTCATCGTCCCGGCAAAATATCAAGATCAAAATGCACATCGGTCAGAATTGGTGCGATGTTTGGTAATTGAACATCCATTTGCCATTTGCAATGAGCGTGTACACTGTTTAGCATAACAGCGGCGAAGCTGATTGGATACTAGCAGAGCCTTAGCCAATCAAGTTAAACGTAACATTTGTATTGTAATGGTTCCTAACCTCTTTTGCGCAACACTATTAACATTTTTTTACAAGGCGATCTTCGTGTGACAAGAGATAATAAGTATCACGAAGCTTTAGCAGACACCTTAATAATTGACTTCACCATATTTATGTGCATTAAAAAAAGAGCTAGCATTTGGCTAGCGGGCTAGTTAGCTATTTCGAACGCTGATTGTATGCGATATCATTTGTGTCAGATTCGGTCAGGTCCACCATAAAACCTTCCCATAATTTCACAAATGCCTTGAAAGGTTTTGTGTTCGGAGTCCTTAAAAAGATCGTGTTCGAATGTACCTCAAACGTGACAAAGAGTAGACATCGAAGGGTGGAGCCAGGGGTGTAGCTACCATTATAAAAAAAGGCCCGGGCTTACACATGATTGTTTCAAAAAAGTTGGGCAAGGCCTCAATACTATCTAAATATAAAGTTTTGCAACCTATCGGGCTTACACGAGACAAATGGCTTGCTGCGCGCCTGGGAGCAGCGGAATGTTGCTGGACGTGAAAGAGATGACCATTATAGAGGTCAGGTCATCCCTTTGGTTATAATCTTTTAAACTGTTTGCTGCAAAAAAGTAGAATGAGGCTGATCATCAGTTGAGTCTGCTGTGCCAAGTTTCGTCCCTTAGGCGGGACATGATCCGATGACAGTAAGTTCGTATCCATGTTCCACCGGAGTACGATTCTTGTTTTGCCTGCGCTATAGCTTTGCTCAAAACAATCAAACTTTATTCTTTACCGCTTGGGGAAACTCATGAGCCAGTGTATGGTGTTCGCAAACCTGCGCCAGGGTTCGAACAAAGACAAGCTTTACGGTATCTCCAAGGGACGCAACTCATGTCAGAGAATTGGGCTCCTTAGAGTGAGTGAGTGGTCTGTAAATAATGGAGTCCGGACCAGACAATCCAGTGATCAACAACATGAGCATCGACCTGCGCATTTGGAAACCGATGACATGTGTCAACCAAGCCAGCGAGCCTGACCATCCGATCCCGTTAGTTGCCTCTTACGACAAGCATGGGTTACTGAAGGTTCATTCTAACCCGGATCTTCACGGGTAGGACGACTGGGCAGTAAGTGTCACTGCATTATGCAAGCATTTACATAGACAAAGGACAAATTTGGGTCAAAATTTAAAATACCATAAAGAAACATTCTCAGCCAAACAATTGATTTCGAGTAGTGCGCATGGACACGTGGATAATGACCCTGTGGCAGCCATGTTGGAAATCTGTTTAGAACCCCTTGAACAAAATAGGCTGTCGTCATTGTATGTGAAACTTCAGCCTCATGGGTCAAGTAGCTTCTGAAGAAGAGAATAATTCCTGTGTCACTGCAACAAGTTATTTTGGAATTATAAAATGTATTTCAATCTCAAACAGTTATTACCCTGTCTGGGCCCAAGTAAAGGTTCATATTGGAGTGAATGAGTTCAGTTTTACGCCGCTTTTAGCAATATCTCAGCAATATCACGGCAGGGGACACCAGAAAGGGCTTCACACATACTACCCATGTAAGGAATGGAACCTGGATGTTCGACGTGACGAGCGAACACCGTAACCACTGGGAAGCGGATCTTGGATACCAACGAACGAGTACGAATTTGTATTCATGACTTGTTTTAGTTCCGACAATCTAGTGATATCAGAGCAGGTATCCACATCAGGGTACAGTCACGTGTAATCAAGCAGGCCCCTGAACACCTGATCCATATCGCTATCTCGAACGACCAGCAAAGGTTGCTGAAGACTAATTCTAACCAGGAATACCGACATCGCAGACAATAAAATTGGAACCTTGACCTTCATCCTGCCTCATGGTAATGCTGATATGAATCTAAATGGACGTAACCGTTTCGAAGATCCGGGTTAGAATTGATCTTCAGCAACCTATGCTTGTCGTAAGAGGCGACTAGAGGGATCGGGTGGTCAGGCTCGCCGACTTGGTTGACACATGCCATCGTATCCCAATTGCGTAGATCGATGCTCATGGTGTTGATCACTGGATTGTCTGGTCCAGACTGGATTATTTACAGACCGCCGCCATATAGCCAGAATATTGCTGAGTCCGGCGTAAAACTAAACTCACTCACTCTCAGTTTCGATGATTTGTGAGTATGTCTGTGTCTTTACCGTGTACAGCACCTGAACATACACTTGGCTCGCAGCAACAGCCAGATTGGACTTAGTGGCTGACATGGTTGATGCATCCGTAGTTGCATCGATCAATGCTCATGACGTCAACCACTGGCCTGGCCGGTCTTGACTGAATTACACACTGTTTGATCATTGGCAACTGTTGCACTGAGGAGAAATATAAATACAAATATAACCTTTCAAATATTATAGGACCGCCTCCGTGGTGTAGTGGTTAGAGCGTCCGCCCGGAGAGCGGAAGGTTGCAGGTTCGATCCCCGACTGCGTCATACCAAAAGACGTTAAAATATGGTACTTGTTGGTCCCTGCCTGGCGCTCGGCATTAATGGGTACAACAAGGACTGGTCGGCTCAGAGTCAGTATAATGTGTCCGAGTGGGGTATTAGTGCTTCACTGCGGCATGGTATCTCAGTGGGCTAGCACTATAAAACCAGCTTCAGTCTGGGCTAGTACAAGCAGCCGCACATACACATACACACGCATGCACGTCATCATATGAGCGAAATATTCTCAAGCACGACGTTAAACCCAATTTCACCTCACCTCACCTCAGGTATTATAGACCATTATTTAAAGAGTCCAGGACCACATGTGTACATCGTGTGTGTAAAGCAAATATCTGGTGTCCCCCCAACAGGATATTTCGGACAAATTACTAAAAGTGGCGAAAACACTCATTTAAAATGTAGGTTCCTGATTCTGCTGATAGCTGCTAACTCATCCATGGTCTTGGCTGTAAAATATAACACAAACAAGTCTTGTTCACTGGTCTTTTATTCCGAGAATATTGCACTCAAGTACATGTGAGTTACGTTGCAGCTCTGCGGGTAGGCTACTCGCAGACAGAGGCACAACATAACGGATAGTGCTGCATGCTGTACAGACTCAGGAGGAAGCAGAAGGCCTGTCGTGACAGTCTTGTCTCAGGTCATGGTCATCCGGATAGCGGGGAGGTCAGTGGGTCAAGGACAAAGACAATTCCAGAGGTCAAGGACAAAGACAATTTCAGATGTCAGTGGTTCAAGGGTAAAGGTTGATTATGGATTATCTTATATGGAATATCTTAAGCATCATATTGTTCTTATTGAGGAACAAAAGGCATGGTTGTGATAATATTGAAACTGACTTAAGTCTAGATGAACAAAGATCTGCAAAATCCAGCTGAACGCTAGCATTTAGCAGGACCTACCCTTCTGTGGTATAACAAATAGTCAATCTTAGTTACTAACCTACTACCACTGCATTATATTTGGGCAAAAAAACATACATAAGAACAGCTGAATGTGATGCTTTCTGAGTGATGGGTTACTGCTGCCAAGCAACATCCCAACTTAAGTTAGGATACCCACTGTAAACTTCAGATTGTCTTAGCTATGTCTTCCAAAACCAGGATAC